GTTCTTCATTGTTTTGATGAATGTGGTGAAGTTTTTCTATCTTTTTGTTTCACATCGCAAGTTTCTCATATAAAAAAATAAATGTGCACTAGAAACTCGTGGATTTGATAAAAAACTTACTTAATCCCCACCAAAAATCGTCATTGTGTGAACTTTGGAATGTGTTCAAATCAGCGTTGGCAAGTAGTAGGGTTGGCAAGACAAGAGCTTTCTCAATTTTGCAATAGATAATTTGGTTCTTGGAAGACACACTCGAAGAAGTAAAACGTACATGCCAAGCTTAACTGGCTTGATAAGAAAAAGGGTTTTGCTGATTCGCCCCCAAGAATTTGTGAAAACCTTCATAAAGGCTGATGGTACATTCCATACCCTGCAGTGCTCCAATCTGATTTTGAAATTCATTCTACTGAAATTCAGATTTTCAGCCTATCGATACCATGACCGTTATCCTATCTTATGATTTTTCACAGTATGAGATGTTTGATATTGGAGTACTTGAGAGTGGTAAATGTTCAGGTTTTCGATTTCCTTTAGCGTTGTTTTAATTCCATATGGCATTATGCCACCCACAGTTAGGCCCTGCTTGTCCGCCATTACCATGCTTTTCGCGAAAGGCATGTGCGTCTCCCAACCAATGAGGTGAACCCACTGATCTATAAAAAAGATTGGATCTAGCTTCTAATGTGACCAGAGTGTCGCCATCCGAGAAGAGGGCCCCAGAACAGCCCATGCAAGAGACGGCCTTCTCTGTCACCTCTAGCAATGTTTTCAGCTGCTCTGACCTTGTTCTTTTTCAGCAATCGTACACACAGCATTGCAGCTCTCGCGTATCCATATCGTTGAAGTATTGGTTTCAAGAAATGGCTTCCCGCTATTGTTTGGGGCCCTCTTCCTTTTGAAATTGAACGGGCTCGATCCAGTTCTTTTAGTAGATCAGTGGGTAAACCACCCAATAAGGTAATCCATTGTGTGAACCTGATTTGTGTTTGCCAATGCAGAAACGCAGAGAAAACCGATACCGCCATTCCGGTTACGAGGAAATAATACAGTGGAATTCCGATATAATGAACCCCGAATATAAAGAACTTCCCGGTATAACGAAGTAAACGATTGGTCCCTTGGATTCTGCCTAACAAATCCTTACAAATTCTCTCGGTATAACGAACCTCGGATATAACGAACTCTTGTTATTACGAACCAAATAAAGGTCCCTTCATCATAATAAACCTCGATATAACTAATTTTTCGAGGCTTTTCAGTAAGTTTTCATCTCTTATCTTTTCCAAGTGTTCATTTATCACTATCTTGGCAATATAACGAACTATTTTCTGGTTCCCCTCAGATTTTGTATATCGGGATTCCACTGTATACATCGATTAACGGGTCATTTTGACTAATTTCTCATTACTGCTCATCAACAACATATTTTGGCTGACAGCGTTTGCCAAGAAACCAACTTGCCAGAAGATATTTCGTTTCAACAATCATGTTACTATTGTTTACTCCTTTGTTAAATTATGAAGTCTTCTCAGCATATCTAACAGAAAAATATACCCTATTTTTTGTAAAGTTGTATACCTTGCTGTGGAAATTCAATTCAACTTCAACTACAAACATTATGATTACAAAAGTAATATGAAATTCACAAGAAGTAGTCTAATTTCACAAGAGAAAAATTGTTACATGAACAAGGAAAACAATCAAGAACAAAAGAATGCAATGAAATGGAAAGTAAAGTTGGGTTTGATCTTTGTAAATTTCTGCAGCAGTAAAACATAATAGATGGTTCGAATAGAAATCATGGAAAGTTTTTTAGATGAGATCACGTTTGTGTTGTTGATCTAGGGAAAGTCAAGAAAGGTTTTACAGGATTTCTCAAAAAGCGTTTATGGGCTGGCATAGATGAGATTTTACTTCTTTCCATACCTTTTTCGTACAGCTAGAAAATCGGATGCTTCTTTTTGAAGAAGATCTAACAACGTTGCGAGAGCCAGTTGAGAACCTAGTCTTAATTGATTCTTGATAAAGATTAAACTGCTTATTGACGAATGTGTCCAGAGTGAAAATTGCCGACCACCTATGTTGGTCAGCAGAAGTAATGTGCCAAACAACTTGGGATAATACGAGTCTGTGGTGGTAGAATCATCTTTAGGCTAAAATGGCAATTTTTTCTTTTCATTCAACTTACCAGAGAACAAGGTCAAGTGTTTAGGTTTACCAGGGTTCGTTGCTCATCTCGATTTCAAAGATGCGATTGAGGTATTTGGAAGTATCATTATTCTTTAGAGGTGGAAAAGTTTTGTTGCTAATTTAGAGTTAAAGGTTAGGACTTACGAGATTTTGTAAAGTATTTCTTTATATAAGATGACATACATCAGTCAAGTATTATGATAAAGTTTGTTCATTGGAACCATCAATTCAACAGTTTAATGAGGGTTGGTTTTATATTTCTCAATTGTAACAACCAAAGCATCATCAGCGAACCTGTGTTGTTGAAAGCTGCTGTCGGCGGACATGGAACATCCGGGTAGGTATCATGTTTTGCTAGACTTTATATTCTTCGGAGAGCGTTCCCTGACCCTAGGCAACCTGTGAATCGTTAAAGAAATTAAAAACTCCTCGACGTGTATGACACGAGATTGATCGGATTATCGTCACCGGATTCTTCAGCTTCGCGCACTTTTCTCGCTAACATCCCCGGAGAGGATCCAAAATGCTTGAATTTCTCGGTCTTGGTATTGGAGCTTTGTAGACCCCACGAGGAAATAGTAATCCTGGAGTTTGCAGTTTGCGTTGGGCTTCAAATTGTGGCCCAAAAACCAGCTCAAACCAAAGTCCTGAACGGCCTAATTGCAAATTGCAGACGATAAGAATTAGCATCCCTGTTCTTGCTAGTTGGTTAAAATCGACTGTTGTGCATTTTCTGTGTTGTTTCAAGAGTATTTTACATCTTCATCTACAAGGCCTACTTTCCTGATTTTTTCCAAATGAAATCCACGTGGATCGAAGACAGGGTAGACGTCAAAGACTCTCGCAAAACAATACAAATAGGGAGGGGTTTAAGCATAAAACTACTCGAAATAATCCGAAAAATTTTTAATCAAATGTACGGAGAGGTTTTAGACCAGCTTTATACCATACATTCTAGTTTAAACATCCAAGCATTTAATGGATTCTCGTACTTTAAACTGGGCACTTATTCAAATAGGGCGCTTAATCGGCGAAAGCATGAGAAAGTGCACTAGGAGTTAGACGCTCCTCCGCTCCACTCTTCTATTTCCGCCCTCGAATTTATGTGACTCTGGTACCCAAGGTAGTAAAAAAGCTAAGCCCTTACAAGAGATAAAGCATGAAACAACTTTGAAAAATTGTATTTTAAAAATTCTGCACCTATTTTGAATAGGAGTGGCACCTACTAGTATTTTTACTTCAACAGTGGGCTCTTTTCGAGGTGGCGCTTAATTGAGGATTTACGACCAACATGGGTTTACAAAAACACAAAAACAAACACAAAACGAGTCAAAAGATAAAAAGATTTTAAGAAAGAGGCAACGCTGACTGTGTCCTCTTTGTTTCTGAAGCAATAGATATAAAAGACGTTTTCTGATTGTTTGAAAGATGTCAGAATGTGAAAATATTTGGTCGACTCCAAGACGTATTTTTTCCAAGCCTAGGTACAGTTAGCAGATATTTTCCATATTTTAGTGCGGATTAACAATATACGGTACATAAATTCCTGGAGTCAAAGATCATGTGCATGGAACGACGTTATCATTACGCATGTTCTCTGAATTCAGGACGGAGGGTTGCCTCATTCATTTAAAGGTTTTTTAGACAACTTCTATAATTGCAGCAGTACCGTATATTGTTAATCCGCACTCAAATATGGAAAATATCTGCTAACTGTACCTAGGCTTGGACCAAATCCACGTAGCGGCGGCACTATAATGGACCCACTCATAACGATTATTATCTATATTCATACTCTGATGAAAAAGAAGTTATAGACACCAGAGATACCTAGAGAATAAAGGACGGCTGAAGTAGGAAGCTGACGGGCGTTTGGCCGTTCGCATATTGAGCCCTCCCAAAGCGGTATTGTCACCACACGTCAGTAATATGCTCTGTGGTTCCTGTAAGAATCAGTTGAGGTTAGGCTGCGACACCCAGCTTCCTTTCGTATCCTACAGCAAGTTGCGTTGTAATTAGTCGTCAACAGAAACTAGACGCAGATCAGGACGGAGAGTGTCTTAAGTTAAGACTGAGGTTGAGAGAAAACCAGGAAAGACCTATGAGAATGCTGTAAATGTGGCAGTGGGGAATAGGGCTACAAGACTGATCTAGGAATTTGATAGATCGATGGCGAAATGTGCAATGACCTCTTTTGAGGTTGTTTTGCAGCCTGTCGCAACGCGAAGTAACGTTTTCACCAGATGATCAAACATGCAATTAGTCATTTGAGTAATTTTTCCATATGATTAAGCTTTTTCGTGTGGCAAAATAATTCATTTTCTTAATACTATTTCAGAACACAAGTACAAGTCTCACTTCTTTGGGGCAATTTTTTCTGACGATTCATAATCGCTATCTTTCTCAGGACCTTGGGAACCGCCAGAAATCTTGATTACATTAGCAGGTATCACGTGGCAAAAACAAATTTGAATTCGTTGGAAGGAATGGTAATGGAATAAGTATAAATATAGCTTCAATGTACTTTCTTTGCGCAAGCTGTCTATTGCGTGAGGAAATTATTGTGCATAGGCTTGTGGCTGTAAGAGGTGCAAACAGCGTAAAGCAGCTGCAAGAAAAATTTCCGCTAAAAATTTATTAAAGTGTCAGTAGTTTGAAGCTGTATAATTGTGGGGCAATTGCTCTCTAATTTGTTGGATATACGTATCTAGTGATATTACGTCAGACATGAATCATTCATAGTTTGTGTCTTTTGCAGGCATATAGCTACGGCAAGAAGAAACTTTGCAAAGAGTCTCAAGTAAGACAAAATGACGGTAGAATCCCAAATCAGCTATAACTGTACCGGGGTCATGGCACCAGTGACGCTATCCTACCTTAGTGCCATTGTTGGTGCAATTTATTGCCCAATCACAACCATTGGGAATGGCCTCGTCATAGTCTCCATCTTGGTTGATCCGTTCAAGGAACTCCGCACGCAGTTCAACTTTTTTGTTGCCAATTTAGCTGTTGCTGACCTCATCATTGGCTGCCTTATAGATCCTCTCACATCATGGGCCCATTTTCAAGAAGCCAAAAGGGTAGAGGTAAGAAACGAGTACCCAAGATTTGTTGAGTTCTGTCACTACATGTACTTTGCATCTGTGTCTGCGTCACTCCTAACCTTGTCGGCGCTGTCAATCGACCGCTTTATAGCAGTGCGTTTCCCTTTGCGGTACCGTTGTCAAGTATCCTTTGTTCGTTATGGAATCGCAGCTGTGTTCATCTGGGCAGTGTCTTTTGGCTTGTCTGCAATGTACTTCGTGATTGGCTACGTGATGATGGCTTGGGTGATGGCAAGTTTCAGCTGTGTCTTTACATTCATCATCATGCTCTGTTGTTACTTTCTCCTATACCTTGTGATCAAGAGTCGTGAGGAAGGCCTACTGGCAACATTGCATGCAGACGAATTGGCCCTGCAAGCCAAGGATGACCAAAGTGACCCTCGTGCTGTGGACCAATCAGTGAAAAGATGCAAGGAGAAGGAGAAGAACATCAATGAAAGGAAAAATGTTGCGCAGACCAAAAAGGTACGCATCAAAACTTCTTAGGAGCAAAATTTCCACCGTATTTATATTCTGTGTTTTTGCTCTTTTCATTTCGACCGCGACGACCTATCAGCGAATTCAATGAAGTGAGGGTACGATTGTAAAGGGATTCCCATAGTTATTTGTGTCAAATGTATGGAATGTATAGAGACAATGCATGGAAATGAAAAATCGAAGGGTAGAGTTGTAAGCAAAACATAATGAACTAGATCGAAGCTCATTCTGTTACCTCTTTATTATATTTTCAAGAGTAACCCTGGTGGAAAACTGGAAACATTGTAATTTTTTGGAATAGCCTGTGTATTCTACACGTAGAGACAAATGGAAGAAAAGTAATCCCAAGTTGAAATTACCCCAAGCAGTCTCACTCTTTCAAGCGTAGAATGGAAGCTACTATTGAGATTTGCCAACACGCCAGAAAAACGTAAAGTAAAATTTGATTGAAGCTGAACAGGCCTCAATGCATTCAAAGCCCTACCTTATATGAAAATAATTATTTTGACACAGTAAATTTTGTTGTTTTTATTGGAAACTATAAAACAGCCCAACTCAGTGCATTCTAAGCACAACCACGGTGGTCTAGGCCTATTGACTTTACACGTACCATTTCTTGTTTCAGGTTGTCTCCGTGTTGATCGTCATGTTTGGACTGTTTTTGGTTTGCTTCGTGCCTGCAACCATCATGATTTTTATCATCAACCTTCAGCAAGGAGACTGCATATTTCGCCACTGGCTGCGCGATCTACAGCTGCTCTTCTGCATCACATCCTCCCTTATCAACCCATTCATCTACACGATCAGACTGCCAAACTTCAGACGTGCGATACTGGTCGTTCTTCGCCTTCGAAAGACCAACAGCATTGGACCGGCAAGCACAACAAGAGCCTGAGAAGCTGCTAGCCATGTAGCAAATTTTAAGGGGTGGCTATTAAGTCAAGATTTGCTTTAGTTTACTAAATAAATTTAAATTAGGTGGCTGATAATAATCCTATTTAAAAAACCCCATTCCTTCTAAAAATCCATGGCAGCATAAAATCAGTCTCTCTAACTAACGCTTTTTTGCTGGCTCTTTATTAAATCCATTTAGATATTTTCAGTCACAGTAACGAAAGTTTTTCCTGGTCCTTTGTATAATGAAATTCAAGAGCTCGCGGTAGGGTTCTTTTGACTAAGTATTCTTTGACCATTGAACTAATGTTAAACTTAGTTTCGATTTAGTTAGATATCAATAATAAATTATAAGGTATATGACGTATATCATAGATGTCCAATTATTCTGTATGTAGTTGAAACGTGAAAATCGCAGAAGTTGTGCAGGACAGAGCTTTAGATTTTCGCGGGATAGTTAAGGTTAGCTATCAAGGTGGTAGTTATTGCAAAAGGTGGAAAAGACAGTGCTAGCTCGCGAGTGTCTCCTATTATCTGGAAATGCTCTCTTTTTGGATATGACAACATAGATAAAACTTTCTTGTGATAAGCATTGACTAAGATTACTTAAGGTTTCAATTGGCTGTTTACATCTTTATAATAGTTATCGCCTTTTGAATGTCAACTATCAAATTTGAACAATGTTGGCATAATGTACATAAGTTGAGATAACATTTTTTTTGCTTAACAGTCTTATATCTATTTCGTTTGACATCTGACCTTAGTATTTATATAACGGACTTTAACACAGGAGTTGAGGAACTTGAGGAGAGTAGCGTACGGAGGATTTTAAAATAATTTGACAAGCTTTTGGTAGAAATAAAGACAGTCAACTATTTAAACCTGTTTTGATTAACACGCTTATTAACATAACGGCATATACGAGAATGTATAATTGACCATATAGTTGCTTCTTAGAAAATTTTACATAGTGATCTCTGTGGATAATAGGATGATCTTGCTTTTTTTATTCGTTAAGTTATTATGTTATTTGGTTTTATTTGTTTTATTACTAAGCAATAATTCATCGCTTTTATTTGTTTTATTACTAAGCAATAATTCATCGCTTTTCTTGCAACTGCAGGAAAGCAGTATCCCAATTTCTCGTAGTTTCGTTCTTACTGGTTGTTTGTTGAATAATAAACTTGTATATACAGAAAAACAGATTAATATAATTAGAACATACAGAAGTTAGTGCCAATATTGGATTATTGGATTGGCGATAGAGGTAGCTTATGTTGATCCGGGTTCCTTTAGAATCTTATTATCACAGGTTCTAATACTGATCTAGATTTTGTTTTAATATCTCTTATCAATTTATCCGCTTTGTAGATACAATAAAAGTCGAGTTCTGCAACTTGAAATTTATAGGAACGCAGACTTCCACTGCAAATAAAAAACTTTGGCATTATGTATCTTAACAAGCATCGGTCATTTGAATCAGTTGTATTAATAAATATATAACAAATATATGTCTTATTTAATTGTTTAGTAATTGGTTAGGCTTATTTTAGAATAAAGCCGGTGATGGTGTAAAGGGATAGAGTGATGGCATCATAAAAATCCGCTTCTTTAGAATTTTGAATTTCGACCATATGGGAAAGAACAACATAGGGCGAACTCTGTAACAGAAAGGGTGAAATATGAGCAATCAAAAACGTGATATATAAGAAAGAGTTAATATTATTTTGGTTTTCTTCCCGAAATTTCAGAACCAAGTCAAAAGCAATTTTCTTGATAAAGAAAAAGCCCGCGTTCGTATCTTGCCTGCCAAAACCTCAGCAATGCTTTGCAGTGCGGTTCTTAATGATATTGCTTAAAGAGACTGTCGAGTCTCTAAAACACATGCGTACTTCTTTTCCTGTCGTATCTTGGAAGGTTTGAACTATTACCCAATTTTTAAAGTCATTAAATGACATATTTTAAGATCTAAGTAGAACAACGTATCCAAAATGGCGTATGCAAAATGGCGTATGCAAAATGGCGTATGCAAAATGGCGTATGCAAAATGGCGTATGCAAAATGGCGTGTCCAAAATGAAGTATCCAAATTCTCGCAAAGATTTTTATGGCGTCATCACCTCTTCCCAACGTTTAACGTGTATATATATATATACTGCATTAGAATGTCCATCGGTTACCTGCTGTAGGACATTATTATTGTAGTAATTATTAACTATTGTAGGACAATATATATGTTAACTGAGAAGTCAGTTGTGTGCTCTTCTAAATGGCTCTTCTTTGTGAATGCTTTTTATTATGTAATTTTCGCTTATAATCCAAGATGGCCCAAGATGGAGAAGATTTAATAATCATCTTCATATCATATCTACACACGAAAACCCTATCAGCTAGGTATTAGTTTTTAACCTAAACGAAAATTCCTCATTATATTTGCATCCAATGGTAAAGAAAGCAATCAATTTTCATTTATTCCAAGTTTTCCACATACAAACCTTGTCTTTTAAATGAGATTTTAGGATAACTCGCAACTCTTTAAGTTTTTTAAAAACATAAATAGATGCTCAATAAAAAACAACTTGGTTGACGTTTCGCTGTAAGCTTCTTCAGAAACTAAATATTTATATATTTGTTTTTTTTAAGTAATGTACTCTTTTTAGGTATAATATTACTGCATATGAAAATTATGATTTTACCACATATAAGAAGATAGAAACCTATTTTAAGATCCTTAGTAGCCTAAATTCACTTTAAGAACATTCATATAAGAACCTGTTTAGGCTTATTTGAAAAAACAAGGTTCTAATACGCGGGTACTTGAAACTTGAACCGGTACATCAACAAGGTGTTAAATTCTTTTCTGGCTAGGCGTAACCAAAGTAGCCTTTTCATCTCAATATTTCAGTCTCTTTCTTCCTTGTCTCTTGGTCTTCCAGAGAAGGAAAATGGAGAGCAAATATCAGAATGGGAAGGACGTCACCATGATTAATGGCTTTACTAGGATGCAATAAACTGTAATCGTTTCATCCATAATATACCACCCTTTTCAGCGGTTTAGAAACTGAACTTTCCTGAATTATCCTTGAATCACGAAGGCTGGTAGGTACACGAATCAATTTATTGATAACAAACTGGGGGTCCTTTTGAGGTAATCATCTCGAAATTGTTTTGGTCTGAGGATTTCAAAAATATTTTTCAAATTCTCTAGCACTATAGCAGTTTTTCTCACTTATAGAAAATCCCTTTCCCGCCTGGTAAAAAAATTTGCAAATACCCATGAAAACCTGTCTTGTAAAACTAACAGCTGTAGATTTACAAACACCAAAAAAGGCAGAAGCAGGTCGTAATTTGCTACCAACAGAATATGTTTGTGAGGAAGTGAGGATTATTACGAAAGGGTGTCAGAAACACGCAGGCAGAGTATACGATGACGATGATTGAATAAAATTTATAGCCATGGATATCGAGAAAAAACGCATCTGGCATAACCCTTAATCAGTAATCAAGACAGAAAGATGTATACTGGAAGATAGACGGCCACACAGAAATACAAACAGATATACTTTATTTTCACCTTCTGCTACCTTGCATTTATAACGAATTTATGTTTAATAGCAAGCAGCAATCTCGCAGACTCGAACTAAATCTTTGAAGTAAAGATGTTTGTTTCCAGGAAATTAAACTTTATCTTCCTTGAACCATTCATCTAAATGGTGCAAATACTATGTTAGCATTATATTTTATTCATCACAACTGATCGTAGTTTCATAACCACAGAGCCTAACCGAGCAGTCATTTGGGTAGATCAGAAGGTCCCCGACTAAAGTAGTAAATAGTAGCAGACTGAGATAAGATCCTTGTGAAACATTATAGGGTTTTGTTTGTGCTTTAACAAAATATGATTGACTCTGCAGTATAATACAGTTTAAGTATTCTGCTTGGTCGTCTTTCTAACAAATTCAGTGATCGTTGTGATCTAGCAAGGTAATAAAACCTATCAAAAAACCATCAGACAACAGCTTTTACAAGGTGAAATTCATTCTTGCAAATAAGTTATGAGATTTCCACAAGAACCAAAAGATTTTAAGGGTTTCAGATAAAAGATTTAGATAGGGATTTCCGCCAAAGGTGCACAAGATGACCATGGTGTGATTTGTAATTTGTTTTTTCGATGTTGCATAGAATGCTAGATACACTGACGAGAGTGTAGTATTAATTATATAGATAAGTCGTGCAGGTTTACAACCCTGGCCGCAATGGTTGAGGTTTGTCCGTTGTTTAAGGCTGCCTGATATACTAAGGCACCCCATAATGGAAATCTGACTGTACAACATTTGGGTGCTCCAAGGGCATTGCGTAGACATGATACGGAATTGATAAAAAAAGTAGCGAAGATGCCTGAGATCTCAGTTTGCATGGGTGATTGAAGCTCTGTATCTCGTTTGTGCATAAAACATTTATGCAACACTGTTAGCAGGGTCTCAGTGAAATTTTACCTAAACACGAGGCAAGCAAATTTACAATTACATTGCTGGAGCAAAGAATTGTAGACGACGTAAGCAAGTTTTGTAAAAGCAGCAATACAGACGTCATCAAGCGGAATTGTCTGATATTTGCATATGAAATGATGATATTTTAGTCACACACAGGCCGTCTCGCAGCAAGGTCAATGCTCCATCAAAATCAGCTGCTGAGATTTCAAAGCATGGAGTCAGTGATATTCTCCCTTAATGCTGCGCGTTTGTAATCATGTTGGTGAATTATACAAGAAATTCCGTTTTAATTGAATTGTTTGTCTCAACTGTTGCACTTTGGCAAATAAAATAGCCTTGGCTACAGCAACATACCACGTTTTTCTATTCACTGTGTTTTTGCTCTATAAACATTTTTTCTCAGGTTTACAGCACAAGACACTCACTTTTAACACAACAGAGGAATTTAGGATAACAATGAAATAATAAATAGCTGCACTAGAGAATTCTACCAAAAGCCTATCTAAGAATCAGTAAAATCTCAATACTCCTTTAATATTAATACATAAGAAATTATTACATTAATATATATATAAATATATTTTCTTTTTATATATATTATATATATTTATTTATATATATATATATATATATATATACACAATTGGGCAGCACCCTTGTGGAAATATTTTTCTCTATATAGATATATAGTTGGAGAAAATAAAACTACATGTTTTATCTCTACAAGCCTGTTTCGTGAAAAACTCACTCTTCTATACGATATTACGCTCTACGAGCAAATGTATTGAGCACTGTGCTACGGAACTATCAACAGACAAATTTCTATATATAAATAGATAAATATTATACATATTCCAGATTGCGTTGTCTATTCTGACGAGACAGTGCTCGATGTGCAAAAGCACAGAGCAATAGATATAATAAAATAGAATATAATAAAATAGAAGATAGGCTAGAAATGAGACATGTTCTCTGTTACTCCGAGTTTCGTGCTTGCGCACTCATCAGACAGACTATAATCTACTCAAAAATTGTACCGTGTTTTAAAGCTGGCTAAAGTAACATTATATATTTACATCTCTTTTAAGACAGGTCAATGCATACATTTAAAGAAAACATGTATTTCTTTGAATAACAGCATTCATCAAGTGTTCGGGCATAATGGCGAGATGTATTCAACAAATCCATGTAATTTGATTATTTTTTACTATAATACAGACATTATGCTTTGGATAAATGGCTTATCTTACATTAAATGAACCATGTGTAATGGAGATGTTATATTTAAGAAGACAGTTCCAATGACATTTGCACCTCTCAGATTCGCTCCTTGAAGATCACACCCTGTTAGGTTGCAATTCTAGAAATTGGGATGACAATTGATGATTATAAAATTCTTGGCATCGTAAGAGAATCTAGATACAAATGGCAACTCCCTACCGGAGTCGTTGAATCACTAAACCTCAACAACCAGCAGACTAAGATAAGAATAAATGGCTTGACCTCCCAAAGTGCCATTATAATTCATCCATTGAATCTTAATACGTCAATGAATAATCTTGCCGAACATAGAATGATCCAGAAAACCTAGAGAGATCTCGCTAGATGCAACCATGATCTGTCAAACAGAAAATCTTGTCGATCATCGAATGATCCAGAACACCTAGAAACACCTCGTTAGGTGCAACCATGATCCTTGGAACAGAAAATCTTTTCGATCATAAATGATCTAGAAAATTTAGAAATATCTCGTTAGATGCAATCACGATCTGTCAAATAGAAAATTTTGGCGATCATCAAATGATCCAGAAAACCTAGAAACATTTCCTTTGATGCAATCATTGCCCGTCAAACAGAAAATCTTGTCGATCATCAAATGATCCAGAACACCTAGAAACATCTCGTTAGATGCCATCATAACCAATGGGGGAATTATATGGATTACCGAGCAGAAGAAATAGCAAATCTAGAGTCATTTTACCCAATGCAGATAAGTGACGAATGCTGTTTTTAACTTTTTCTTCGATTAGAAAAATTATGAATCAACAACACTGAATAAACAACACAGAATGAGAGTATTCTGTTCTTTGTATATGTGAACAATGACAAATAATGTAACAAATCAGTAAAAGTGTCAGTAACTATTGAAAATGCATTGGAGAGAAAAATTCAGGCGAGAAAGAACGGAGATTGTACGGAGATTGTACGCTTAGACAATAAACAGATCATTATGTCAGAAGAAGCAATCACCATTTATGCCAACGGCAAGAAAAAAAGAAAAGCAAAGAAGGAATCATTATTTTCCATCTAAGACCACAGTAAAAGGCATTGAAAAATTTCTGTTTCATAAGCTGGCAGCAAAGGAAAGTAAAAGAGCTTACAGTTCTTCGATTACGATTACTGATAAACTGAACAAACAAACATCACTGATATTATTTTATTTGAATATCAATCATATCTAGGCAACTAAGAAGGAAGATTTAGCGCTTCTATGTTGTGCCCTACAAAAAAAGTTTCTGGATCTCGATATGGGCGAAACACAGTGAAAAATCCTACAGGGGTAGCGTTATTCTACCATCAATAAGTGTCTCTTAGCCTGATATATTATGCAGCCCTGCTTTAACAGTCTACCAACAAGCAGATGTTCAAGCCAAAGCTATCTCTAAATCACTGTGGGAGAAATTCGAAATCGTGGCAACATTGTAAGCTTGAGTTAATAAGCAGCTGAAAAACGGACATTTTTTCTCACCTCCAAGTCTGCTCCAGCTAGCACGGCATCTCTCAACATGCAATTCTGCATACGAGCTCCCTTCAAATTGGCGACTCGAAGGTTTATACCAGTCATCTGACTGCCATCAAGAACAGCTCCTTTCAAATTAGCACCTAGAGTGAAATTCAGCCTAAAGAAGTTCTCTTATGTTACTAGGCGTGAATCAGTTAATTTTGATAACTAGAGTTAATCAAGATTTTGCACATTTTGTCGGTATAAAGTTTCCAAACTTAACTCTGCCTGCTACTTAACATAAAAAGTTTCTATCTTTGTCAACGGATATTTTACATTACCTGTCTGAAAGTCAATGAAAGTTTCAGCTACACTTTTGGAAAAACTCAATATAATGACCTTTAAAACTAAAATAAAGACGCAAATTCATTTGTTTATATTTCAGTTTCACAATTTTTTCTCGTGGAATTGGATGGTCTCGTTTCAAATTGTTCCTGTTAACCCTTATTTTCGAAATTCTTCATCAAAAGATTCTTAGAATCCACCGAATCTAAGAATCGGCTTCTAGATTACCATTCAAAAACACAATACCTTCAAGATTTGCTTTATGGCAAGTTGGATCTTCAAAATTGCATCTTTCCAACGAAGCACTCTCTAAATTCGCTCTTGGCATTTTAACTCCTCCCAGAGATGCCTCCTGAAAAATTCAGAAGTGATTCGAGTCTGGAAGAGCATGTATTTTCTCAAGACATTACATTGCAAAGCTTGTAAAAATTGTTAAAACAAAATATTCGTGGCCATACAGCAGCTATAGATATTTTTACGATTGCTGCAAATTCGTTTTTCAATACATATCCCTGAGAAAATAACGAGCAAGCTAACTATAACTTAGAACCGTCCTAAGAGTCTGCGATGTCCCTGATCGTTAGCAAAAAGAAATAGATCTTACATATCAGCGACGTCGGAAATTGTTTCAACCCGTATCAATCTTCTTTAACAATTATTCGAGCTATATCTGCATAAATATTGATAAATTAGTTTGTATTTGCTATTCTAATGAGTAGAAGTTACATGTTTATTGTTATACTGTGGTTACAGAGTTTTCATTAACTAACCAAAACAAACAAGAAGGGCAGTAGCAAAACATTGACTGGTTAAAGGCGCTTAATACTCTGCAAATCCTCATACAATACGCTAAGTGATGTGGGTTCGCATTTCAGCTAATTACAGTTCTACTTCTAGTAAGATCTCCCAGAACAAGCACTATTCCACGTGCGGATCATACACATCAGGAGGTGTGTTCCCATTGAGAAGAAGGATAGGACATCAAACGATAAACATAGCTTCTCAGTGGCCTAAAAGCTATCTTAAGAAGCTGAGTGGTAGCGAAGAAATATACATAACCAAGCAATGAATTAACAGTTTCTTGGCTTTCTGTGCAATTTAAAATTACTCTACATCGTTTCACGTTTAGGGCTCCTTCCATGCAGAGAGAAAAGTATTATTTAAAACAACAAGCTAAAATGGTGGTCTCATACATTTAGACATGCCCCTGTCAAGTCCGCTCTTTCGAGACAGCTGTTCCCCAAATTTGCACCAGACAAATCACAACCAGCAAGATTAGCGAGTTTGAAATTTATATACCGCAGATCCAAATTTGACAGATCAGCTCCACTTAAGTCGATCCCCTATAAAGAAAAGTGCCGGATGATCAAGTAACTGTAGATAAAAGAAGTATTATGTATACGCTGTTCTGTTGAAGTACAAAGCAGTTAAGGAAAAGTCGTGATACTTTCTATCATACTTTTCAATACTGCTGCTTACAACTTTAAAAATCTGATAGCTTCTATGTACCTATCATATTTATTTCTGCAGCAAACAACTTAATGCCCAAATAACAAAACGATTGTGAGAGGATTGACAATATTTTCATTGACAACTGTATCCAGAGGTTGATTTTTATATTTTAATAATCTTTAATGGCTTTTAAATAGGTTTTATGGACCAAACAATTCCTTGTCCTAGAAAATTTTGAAAGTCACACAACAACACAGGATATGGCCAAAGAGAAACAGTTTTTCAAAGTAATTCATAATGTTGTAATTCATGATGTTGCAATTCACGATGTTGTAATTCACGATTTTGTAATTCACGATTTTGTAATTCACGATGTTGTAATTCACGATGTTGTAATTCACGATGTTGTAATTCACGATTTTGTAATTTACGATGTTGCAATTCACAATTTTGTAATTCACGATGTTGTAATTTACGATGTTGTAATTCACGATGTTGTAATTCACGATGTTGTACTTCACGATGTTGTAATTCACGATTTTGTAATTCACGATGTTGTAATTCACGATGTTGTAATTCACGATGTTGCAATTCACAATGTTGTAATTCACAATTTTGTAATTCACGATGTTGTAATTCACGATGTTGTAATTCACGATGTTGTAATTCACGATGTTGTAATTCACGATTTTGTAATTTACGATGTTGTACTTCACGATGTTGTAATTCACGATGTTATAATTCACGATGTTGTAATTCATGATGCTGTAATTCACGATGTTGTAATTCACGATGTTGTAATTCATGATGTTGTAATTTACGATGTTGTAATTCACGATGTTGTAATTCACGATGTTGTAATTCACGATGTTGTAATTTACGATGTTGTTATTCACGATGTTGTAATTCACGATGTTGTAATTCACGATGTTGTACTTCACGATGTTGTACTTCACGATGTTGTAATTCACGATGTTATAATTCACGATGTTGTAATTCATGATGCTGTAATTCACGATGTTGTAATTCACGATGTTGTAATTTACGATGTTGTAATTCACGATGTTGTAATTCACGATGTTGTACTTCACGATGTTGTAATTCACGATGTTGTAATTCACGATGTTGTAATTCACGATGTTTAATTCGTGATGCTGTATAGATGCTGTAATTCACCATTTTATCATTAGTGCTGGTAATTCAGTCAAATTATACTTTTGCCTGCTTCGAATATTCAGAAAAACAAAGGCACATGGTTTGAAAACTTTGAGATAAGAGAACTACAGGGAAAGTTTGTCAACATTAAGAAGCAATCCAGCATCAATAACATGGCATAGAAACAAATAGAAAAAATCGAACGAAATAACAACGAAATTTTAGCAGAATAAAAATGAGCTGACCTGACATCGCAATTCGCAGATAGAAGAAGTTGAAAGTAAGATTCGCACAAATTCGGCCCTTTCCATTGGAAATATGCTACTCTTCTTTTCGATTCTCTGAGAAGAGAAAATAAGAAAATGGTCAAGTGAAGAAGATTTTGTCATCAACCTCCGCTGGGCGCTGCATTGTAATGGTCTTCGAATTATATGATGGGATGGTGGGATAACCCTCAATTTACCTTTTGGTAAAATGTCCCTCTTTTCATGTTTCTCCACAGATCAACAAAAGGCAATAGATATAAGAGACACGATCAATAAAAATAGAGAATAGTAAACGTTGTCAGTGACATCCAATTTTCCATCTCCCGTCCCAGAGCAAAGAGCAAGGAATTGGTAAATCTAAGCATTAATAAAACAGAGAACTGAGAACTCGCGTCGACTTTGAGTCTTCGACTTCGCGTCGACCTTGTGGATCAGTAAATTCTAATGAACTTTAAAATACTTAGTGCAAAGATGACAAAATGCTGCAAAAAGTCGTAATGCCTGGATCACTGAAAGATCTCCTTCGATGCCCTTCAGTAAAAACCTACGAAGTTTTAGCAATATTTCTAACATTTTCTACCTTTATGTGGTGTTCTAACTCTTCCACAACTTTTCCAAGACCATAAAACTTTGCTTCTTCTAAGACACCTGTAATTATATGCAGATAGTTGTTATCAAATTGTAGACCGCTCTATGTCAATTAAACTTTAAAACGGTTTGTTAGATTTGATCATTTCATATTGCATGGTAGAAGATAAGGATTTTCACCACAGAGATATCACTCATCATCATCATCATCATCATCATCATCATCATCATCATCATCATCATCATCATCATCATCATCATCATCATCATCATCATCATCATCATCATCATCATTTTCACAGCTATTAACTTAAGAGAGAACGCCTTGCGCACGATTAAAATTTTTATTTATAAATTGTCTAAGATGTAAGCGGCTTTTCTCTTTCCGCGCTAAAAGCAAACTGTGGCTGTCTCCCTGTAATTGTGACTTGAATGGTTCTACATCTTGATGACGGAACCCAGTGCATCTAGAATTACTTTTAATGTAGATTTGTGCTGTGAAAAGTCACCAGTAAACGCCGTATCTATATGTAAACATAGGCCCGTGGCAATTTTTTCTCCCAATTTCTCGCCCCAGTCTTTTCGTGCAAATTAAGCGCGCGGATATCGAAAAGGTGTATTGAAAAGCAGTTTGATAATTTTAAACTCATTTCTTCATAAGGTAATGACATAAAAACAACATTCTTTTATCTCTTAAAAAATTAGAAATAAAAAATCAAATTTGATGAAATTAAGAATATATATTTAAAACAAAGCGAATACAAGCCTTTGGCGTCAACTCTTTCGTCAAGTATCAGTGCCCCTTGACGCAAATAATTGAGCAATGCTTCAAAATAGACTGGACATCTGTCTATGAGAAAAGCGCCCTGTCCATCCACCCTGCTGCACCATGAATTCTCTGCAAAATAGGATAGCTTTGGAAATCACTTGTTGAGAGAAAAATTGTTATAAAACAATCAGAAATCTACAGGATGGGTGTTATAATGGCAAGCTCGAAATGGCGTAGGCTTATAACGTATGCACAATCACCGGAAAAATCTTTGCCTCTTCTCCGTGCTAATCTCGGTTTGGTTTAATTTTATTCTTTTTCGGGGTCCGTTCTTTTTTGCTGGTGTGTACTTATGTGTGTGTATAATGGAGTTTTGTGCCTGGCTAATAATGAACACAAGAATAGAGAAAGCCGTCGTAGTTTCTAAAATTAGTACTAAAATCCTACTTCCAAGAAACAAATGAACGTACATTGGAAAAATGATCTTTCCATAAAAGAAATATTTCTAAAATCGTCATTTTGACGTTATTAAAATGAAGTCAGAGGCTGCTGCTTTTTCGACAGCGTTGAGAACTCCGTTTTATCTAAGTGGAACAAGTGGTCATTTTCTCGATAATTCATTACCCCTGTAAAGGGGAAATTAGAGATAATGTACTTGTATTTCAATTTTGCTAAACCACAGGTATACAAAATCATACTGTACATCTGGACCTGACTTTTAAAACATTTACTCGAGCACATTCTTTGCTGGACGAGAAGTATGAAAAAAGGGGTAAGAAAATGCTACCACAAAAGGTTGGCTATGTCGCCACTCAGAAGTGGCTTGTAGTTTTTATGAAAAAATGCCTAATTAATGTGAACTGTATAAGTAAAAAGCCATAAAATATTTTAGAGAGTGATGCTCTAGAAAAAGGAATTATAATAAAATATATCTTGATGTTTGAAGATACTTCACGCTAGTTCCGCTTCAGCTCTTCTTTCTATCATTATAGATTTATCATTGTGAAGTTTCAGGACTTTATTAGGCCTATAATTGTGAGTGAAGAGATGTCATATTGACATGTCTTAAAATCGATGAAAAGGCTCAATCAATTTTCAGACGTACCGTCAGATGAAAACATTCGTGCGAGCATACTATCTGGATCTTTGGTCAAGGTGCTTCTGCAAAGTTTAAATCAGTATTAACGAGAAGGAAGATGGTTGAATAAAATGCAAATGGTAAACGATAACTTATTTAGATCATAAAGAAGACGTTACACGGTAAACAAAATTTTTATCACGGGCAAGCTCAAAATTGATGATTTGGCAATAATTGTCCAGTCAAAGCAAAATTAAAAAATTAAATTGATTTTGCTGAACTGTGGGACCAAGCAGAGAAGATCGGGAAGATATTAATATTTAAAAAGCGTGTTAGACAGTTCCAGGTCATTGTAATTTGGATATCTTTTTAATTTAATTGGCGCTCAAGCAACCCAGAGCCGCGCAACCGTGTAGGAACAGTTTGAAAAAGCTTCTAATAAGAGGGAGTCACAAAGAAGATATACGCTGAGGAAATACTCCTTTGTAAAAGGTTGCTTAAATGACAAGATTCTCTCTAAGACAAAAGCCTTGAGAAAAACTGTAGTCCCATCACAATAAAAAAACCTGAAAAATCATTCTAAGCTGACTTTTCAGATTGGGTTATTAAGCAAAATATTTAATGTTCAAAAGCAAGAAAATAATGAGTGTTGAATAGAAGCTTTTGAAAATATGATATTTTTCGCCAATAGAATGTGTTGAAAACCACACTGATAGACAAAATTAGCAATTGCAGTTTTTTCAATAACTAAAAACATCGTGGACCGATCAATTATATTGTTGGAATGCATTTATAGCGTCTTTTCTGTTTTATAAAGTTGTTGGAAAACCCCAATGAAAGCTTGGGCCTTTGTCATGTCTTCATGTCTTCAAAGTTATCTGTTTACATCTACTCTGGACACAGACTGGACCAGATTTAGAAGATATAGTAAGCATTGCATCAATTCACAAAGTCCTTTGCATTGCATTATATAGAGAGCACTTGTAATGGCGAACGTCATTTTTCATTTTCATTTTAAAATTATTTACCCAGGGTACGAATTCAGTCTAAATATTTATTCAGTCAACTGGCCCTGCAAAAACTACTTAGAAAATTAAAAAGTAACATACTATAAAATTTACAATAAAAAGAGCGGAATATGGCTAAATCAAAGATGTATAAATTTACAACAATACACCTCAATATACATATATATCAAAGATGTATACAATATACATCATTATTTGGACCTCAAGGCATTAATCGAGGGAGCCATTTTTGTGTCCAAATCGAGACTGTTTGATAAGGCAATTATCAATCACGACTCCGAGGTATTTTGTTTCGCTTATTAGGTCGATTTCCTCACCCCCTACCCTAAAAGAAGGAAATGTGCTAAGACTATTCTTTAGCTCTTTAATTTTTGGCTTAGAGTCAATTATCATAGCTTGGGTTTTGACAAAATTAAGGAAAAGCTTATTACCCGGTAGCCATTTTTCAATTTATGAAAGCTCTTCGTTGATTACTAGGTCCAGTTCATCACTTGTATCAGAAGCATACGAGATTGCCATGTCGTCGGCATACATTGTAGCCTTAGCCTCCTTAAGAGCAAATGGCAAGTCATTTATGTGTAGAAGAAAAAGGAGAGGGCCTAGGCACGATCCCTGTAGCACTCTAATAACAATATTTTCGATGCTAGAAGTTGTGCCATTGACTCTACAATACTGCTGCCGATTATCAAGATAAGAACTGAACCATTTGTCCAGTAATTTGTGCATGTCCAATAATTCCATAAAATTGCATTTTATCTAAGAGTATTTGATGATCAACCTGTCGAATGCTGTCGATCATTTGTTGTTTTTGATCTTTTATTTAGCAAAAGATTGAGCGTTTTCCAAGTTTCTGTAAGATTTCTCTTTTCAAGGGCAATCTTTTTGGAAAAGTATTCCCGTTTCAATTTTTTATTGAGATTATTGACTCGGTTATGCATGTGTTGGTATGAGGCCATTGAAATTGAAGAGCTTTTCTTGATGGCCATGATCTTAAGCTTATCCCTTGTACGAGCAAGGGCTTTAAACTCGTTGGTAAACCATGGAGAGTACCTATCAGAAACTTTAAGTTCTGTAAATATATATAATAATAATTCATTTATTTACAGTAGGCGTTCTTCACAGTAGTAGCTAAAAGATAAGCTAATTAAAGCTTACTATTTATAGGAATAAAAATGATAATCTTATACAGTTATATAAAAGCTATTTAAAGAAATAAATTAAAATACCTAGGATTTATTAGATAAATAGTTGAAAATAATCATGTTAGATAATTCATGTCAAGAACCCGACCTGTGCTAGGGCTACAAAGGTTCTACATAGCTTGCAGTTGCAATTATCCTTCCATTGTTTGATCTTTACTTTAAAGGTAGTAAGACTACTTAGGTTTTTCAAGTTTTCTTGTAGATTGTTCCAAAGCTTACATCCTAAATAGGACAAGCTTTCGATTCCATGAGTGATGGTTCGAGTTTTTGGGATTTTCATTAATCTACTGTTTCTAAGATGGTAGTGGCTGCTCTTTTGTATAAAATTTCATTCCTAAAGCTTGAATTGAGTTTATGTACAGTTTTGTAGATCTCAACCATTAGTAGTTGAAGGTTTCTTTTGTGTATGGAGACACAGTTGTTTTCAATCAGGAGAGTATCAAAATCTGACACATTGTTTTTGCATGCGATACGCAGTGCCTTTTCATGTATATGGCTTATCTTGTTATTTAAGGTTTGGTCACAGAACATCCATACAAGTGGGCAATAGCTAAATTGGGATAGAATGAATGCCCTCAGTGTTTTTTGAGTTGTGTTACACCAAGTAGTTTTTCCTCGCTGCTTTCGTTGATTAGGTTGTTGTCTATTTGTATGGCTAAGTCATTACTTTGATCGCCAAAGGTCAGGAAGTGGCATTTGTCCCCATTTAACTTCATACAGTTGTCTTTAAACCATTCTGCAACTGTTAAGGAATTTTTCTCTAATTTTTCAATTACATGCGAGGGGTTAATGTTGCTCGCATAGAGAGTTGTGTCATCTGCATAGTTGCATATCTCTATTTCTGGTACAAACATCAGCAGATCGTTTATGCAAATATTGAATAAAAGAGGCCTTAGAACTGAATCTTGTAGAACACCCTTGTCGATTACTTTCCATTCACTGAAGGGCTATCAGATGTTATCACAAGTTCGTGGTTTGAGCAGTCAAAGGCATTTGATAGGTCCATAAAGACAGCCCCGACACACTTTCCGGTGTCCAGGCTAATCTTGCATTTTTCAGTGAAGCGCAGTGGGGCATGTTGTGCACTATAGTTTTCTCTAAATCCAAAAAAGCAAAGGGTTAAGGAAGCCTAGTGAAAACGGTTTCATCTGAGATTCAATATGTCTTTTGTATACTTTTGAGACTGGTGGGAGAACCGTGATTGGTCTATAGTTTTTCTTAACATCTATATCCTTTTTTTATGAATTGATCAAATATCACCAGCTTTAAGCTTCGATGGGAAGTTGCATTCATCCATGTTATTATTGAGGCAGTGTCCTATAGGGAAGTTAGTGAAGAAGCGAGTAGCTGCAAACATTATTGGATTGTCTTTCAATATTCTTGCAGGGATGCTTCCTATAGGGGATGCCTTTTTGCATTTAGTATTACGAGCTGATGCAAAGCTTCCAGAACAGTGATGTTACTAAAGATAAACGGCTCAGACGGAACCCAATTCCCTTATCTTATTAATACTTGGGTGTTTTGATATTTTTTAAAAGCTATATCAATAGGGTCACTTACTCCAATTGTTGATGATAAATGAGCTTCGTTTTCGGTTATTCCTAGTTCTCGGTGGGGCGTATTTTTCAATAACTAACGAGAGAAGATATGACCCCTTGTTGACTGCCTCAATAATATCCTTACTTGAACTGACGATACTGTCCCAATCGATCCGGCCTAGATCCGACAGGAAATTGTCACTGTGGAAATTTTTTATTTTTCTAGTGGATATAGTTTTACGCTGACGTTTTGTAGAGCCCATAAGCTTCTAGCTACATAAACAAGATAGTGATCGCTTAAAGTAATACTAAAGACGCTATGTTGTCGATAAGCGTTGATGAAGTTAGCGTCACTCTTGTAGGCTCGCGTATCATTTGCGTCAGACCGAACAAATCGTAGATCTCAGCTAAATGTGCAGTATTACTGAGTGAGCTACAGTATTCATCAGCTACCTACGACGAGAAGTCACAGTTGGTATCACCCATGAAAATCATTTCTTTGTTTTCCCTATCGAAATCTTTTAAATTTCCTCCCTATCGAAATATTCTAAATTTCCTTTCAGTTTTCTTTCACTCAGCTGTAAGACAATCAGCACGGAATTAAAGATCAAATTGAAAAGCATCTGCGTGCGTAATATCAGCGATGCTATTCATTAGCTAAGCTGTAGAGGTGGCCCATTTCTTATAATGAGCAGACAGATAAACTGTTTTTCATAAAATAAAAATAAGCCTTCTAGCTGTGAAATAATAGATTGTGCACAATAATATGCCTCCACTGTTTCGTGCATTTTAATGAAAATCATAAACCACCAACGTGAGGCGAAAGCGATGCACCCATGCACCATATTTTGTACTTTTCTCTTCCATTATAAAAACTTAAAATATTTTCTTTGCAAAGGACGAAAAAAGTTCTTAGTTTCAAAAAATCTTGATATTGATATGATACTAGTACTGCTGCGTGTCCGGTGTCTCCCGATATTTTATAATCAAAATTTTCTATTTACTAGCAACAGACATCGTGTTGCTTACTTACTACGTGTTTTTCTCCTGAATACGTGGTTATCTATGGCATCTTCCAAAACAGAACAAAAACTGCTTGAATTACCTAGTGGTAACGAACCGAGTTCCTCCAACATTCAAAGTAACCCACTCTCTGTTGCCAGCGTTCACTAAAATAAAATGATAGATAAAACATTTTTCTGAATTTGAAAGCTTCTAGAACGTTTCTCTACATCATGAAATATGATTATTAGCTCCTATCTTAAAGTCGGGTTCATCTGAAAAGTCTTAGGAACGGGTAAGGGATTGGAAGTAGTAGTTTTCATGAAAACAAATGAAAAATGCAGAGTGCAAAGTGTTGGGTGTGTCAAGAAATTTGAGCAGTAGTTGTAGCACCAAGCAAACAATTAAATGCAATTACAAAACTACAAGACTACCAAGATAACATTTCTCTCACAAATTTGGGTTACCTTACTTATGAAGGGGGGAGGGGAGGGGGGTGGAGGGGGATGGTGGTGGTGTAGAGACCAAGCAAATTTCGTAACGTAACACATCTGTATGCAATAATGTGGAGACGCATTTTCGTCCTAACGTGACATTTTAAAACAAGATTTTCAACATGGGTAAGAACAGTTTGACTTAAAACTTCAAGAAAGTTTCGTATAAGGCAACGAATAATACTATAAAAAGCACCTACTCGATACTTTAGATTTAAGCACGCTTGAGCATGGGACCACATTACCAACATTCGGGGACAAACCTACAAAGAAACGATAAATAAATAAAACTTCACTTCCATTACAATAAAATTCTCAGTAACGGGCACCTCTCAGTAACGGACACCTCTCAGTAACGGACACCTTCTAACCGATATTTCCCAATAACGGCCATCTCCCAACAACAGCCAACTCTTAATAGCAGACATCTCCCTACAACGGACATCTCCCTATAACAAACTCCTCTGTACAATGGACATCTCTTTACAACGGACACCTTCCTTCGACGAACACCTAACTATAACAAACACCTCTGTTTAACGGAGATCTCTATACAACGGACACCTCCCTACAACGGACAATTCCCTCAAACAACACAGTTGTACGACATGAAAGTATATGATAATTTACCAAAAAGGGGCCTTTACTGTAATTATTCAACATTTTTGTAGGACTGCGATCTCACATTATTTTCGCAAACATTATATGCTTGCACTGTCAAATGATAAACCCTTTTTCTAGATGCTATCATACTTTGCATTAAGGACTTTTGAAAATTGCTCAAACCTCCCCGAAAAGATACTTACAGACTTCGTTACAGCAAAGATTTCGTTATGAAACATTTAATTTAAAAAATCAGAACCTCAAACTATAAGGCAACGATTAAAATTTGTCATTTAAAAATAGAGATTTATGCGTAAACAGGCCTGGGAAATCGCAACTGTAATCAAAAGACTTTCGTAAAGCCTGATTTACACGAGACGAATTTTTCGCGCGAAGCGAATTTTTCGCCACGAATTTTTCTCCTGCGAATTCGCTGCGAATTCGAAGTTTAATTTCCACTGGCAGAATTTCTTTTGCGAATTCGCCGCGAATAATGCCAAAGAAAATGGCGTCTGTTCGAAGATTGTTGTTATTGAAAAAAAGCGAGCAAAAAAGCAAATAAATGGGTACTTGGTTCGGAAAATTTATTCAGAACGTCTGCAGAAGGTGGAGTTTCATCTTTCTGTAAGTGACTTACGCTTACATTGTCAGGAATAATTACTTTCGAATGTCGCCAACTACATATGAGGAGCTTTCATCGTTTATTGCACCAAAGACGCCTGTTGCTAGAAACGTCCCATTCCATTGTTTATGTTATAGGTGCGGGATTTTCCCAGCATTGTTTAGGCCTAGTCATAGGTTACTCATTCTTCACCCATGTTGTTGTTTGAACCATTGCGTAGTTTTCTGTCGTTTTGCAGCTTTAAGCCTGATTTACACGAGACGAATTTTTTCGTGCGAAGCGAATTTTTCGCCGCGAATGCGCGAAAATATGCGCAGAAGTGGAGATTAGAAAATTCGCAGCGAATTCGCAGCGAATTCGCAGCGAATAATTCGCTGCGAAAAAGTAGAAACCATTCCTACTTTTTCGCTGCGAATTTTTTCGCCATGTAAAATAAACCAATCAGAACAGCAATTGAAGACAGCTGACACAAACCCAACTAGTGAACAAGAGAGAAACACTCTTCACAACAAATCTTTATCGTCTCTTGACGTGAAGACATGGGAAAGGAAGGGCTAGGCCGAATGGTGCTATGCAATATAAACATATCTAAATCAAAAGTATGCAAAACGACAGAAAACTACGCAATTGTTCAAACAACAACATGGGTGAAGAATGACTACCCTATGACTAGGCCTCAACAATGCTGGGAAAATCCCGCACCTATAACATAAACAATGGAATGGGACGTTTCTAGCAACAGGCGTCTTTGGTGCAATAAACGATAAAAGCTCCTCATATGTAGTTGGCGACATTCGAAAGTAATTATTCCTGACAATGTAAGCATAAGTCACTTACCAAAAGATGAAACTCCCCCTTCTGCAGACGTTCTGAATAAATTTTCCGAACCAAGTACCCATTTATTTGCTTTTTTGCTCGCTTTTTTTCAATAACAACAATCTTCGAACAGACGCCATTTTCTTTGGCATTATTCGCGGCGAATTCGCAAAAGAAATTCTGCCAGTGGAAATTAAACTTCGAATTCGCAGCGAATTCGCAGGAGAAAAATTCGTGGCGAAAAATTCGCTTCGCGCGAAAAATTCGTCTCGTGTAAATCAGGCTTAACACTTAACCCTCTGACGCAATACAGTTTAAGTCACTAAAAGGTAATCCTTCACTTGCTGCAGCTGAACCATATTTTAGTTTGAATTTATTCTAGCGCTTTTTATCCCGGGCAGAGGAATAAATAAATAAAACAAGGTTTTGATTGAAAATCCGTTTAAAATATGCAGATTACTATACCTTTTTCGTCCCTAAGTTCTGTTCATGATGTTTATCTCAGTCTAGTCATAGCGGGATTGTCGTGTTTACCTTCCGCTACCCGCAGAGAAACATCTGCTTCCGATAGCAGAGATTCATAACGTGGAGCTTCTGGGTTTTAATTCTTTGAGTACAGGGGCGTTGGGGGTACTAATATTCAAAACCGACTTAAATTGGCCACACCCGCAACCCACGAGATCCTAGAGCCCCTTCCCCCCAGCATTCTCTAATTTATCGCAAATATAGTAGAAATATACAGTGAATGCAGAAATTTATAGTAAAGCTAACAAGCTGTGCTAGACACAGTTGATTTATATTTTTATGAAATATAAACAGAGTGAGAACTAAGCTTTGTTTGTCGCTCGAAACATATTCTCGAATAAACCAGGCTAAACTACTGTCAATTGTTTTGGTCCTACAGATTCTACATGCTGACGGCATTACCCAATTCCATTGATAACCTAATATCAATAGTTGAATTTATGCTACCAAAGAAGCTATTTGTGACTTAGGGAACTTTATTTTCGAGTTATAATGTTCATTGCTGGTTGCTTTCCTGGGCAGAAATATTAACATTTCATAACGGAAAACACTGCAAATGATCTTCTACAAGTTTGAGACAGAAGGCTGAGCTCTATCACTTGCTATAAAAAGGTCACTTTATTTGAAAAATTTATGACGAAGACCAGCTTTTTAACAAAAATTGACAAAGATCACTAGACATAGCAATTTTATATCGTAGATGCTGACGCCAACCAACCAGAGAACAGCCAGCTTTTTGAATTATTTCCCATCTAAATAAAGACCCTAAACCAATACCATCTAGACCAGATCCAACCGTTCACACGGGATCCCGTCCAGATGAGATCCACACAGGATCACATCTGAAGGTGCTCCCAAAAGTGTTCAGATAGTGGATACAAAAGTATACAGATCCACCAGCTACTGTGTAAGTGCAAAGCCTATCAGTATCCACTCTAATGTAAACTGGGTCTGAGTATAGATGATATTCTAATAGTTACAAATACAATAAAGGAACTTATTTCTTACATTGTTAATTAAATGCTTGAGGGTTCATTCAAATATTTAAACACTGGCGAAATGTCAGCTGAGCAGTACTGCTGTATTAGTGGCAACCAGTATTTATTAAAATCTGGATAATTCTTACCATTATTACATTTTACAGGCTATAATAATTTCAAGACATTCATTGTCTTACCAATAAAATCTTCTCCACAAGAAACCAAAACTGATTCGTCATCTCTACAAAAATATAAAGTTAAATGTGTAAACCATGGGCTGAAACCATGGACATGCTGAAGTGATTTCAATTTTTAAAAACATAGAAATTTGATATGCATACCATTATTAAATGTAAAAATATATTTTTGGCATTCTTGTACTGTTTACATTTTTAGGTCCAAAAACATTGCTTTTACATTTTAATGTTGCAATTTACTGGTTCAATGCAGGGTTTTTCAGGAAAATTTAGAGTTGGGTATCACATTTGTGGGAATGCGTTGAAGGAGAGATTGTAAAGGAAAACAATTGTATAAGATTTTCAGACCTTAAAAGAAGAATGTTGTCCACTTCTGCACCATCCATTGAAAATATTCTTAAAGCTTTTATTTTCAATTCTTTGCTAGCAACTTCTAAAAGTTCCTGGAATGACTTTGGAAAAACAACCATCTGAAATTGAATGAAAACTTATGGAAAGTTACTTTAAAAAATAATAACATATCTCATGACCCCTTAGTACCAAAAGACAGAGACAGAGACAGAGACAGAGACAGAGACAGAGAGACAGAGAGACAGAGAGACAGAGAGACAGAGAGACAGAGAGACAGAGAGACAGAGAGACAGAGAGACAGAGAGACAGAGAGACAGAGAGAGAGAGAGAGAGAGAGAGAGAGAGAGGGAGAGAGAGAGAGAGAGGAGAAGCAAGAAAGAAGGAAAAGAAGGAAGAGCAATTTTGAAGACTGGAAAAAAGGAAATTTTTGACCAATTTCGCAATTTTTGGACCTGTCCATCCCAGTCCACTCTGTGGGGCACCAATAGTAGGTAAGAGTGCAAGTGGAATAAGAAACAGAAAACCTGTGTTATCAATCGATAAAACCCAATGTCATCTTAAAAAACTTGTATCAGCATAATGTAGGATTCTGTAGATTAATACAATATACAGGGCATGGGGATAGTGTACTTGAGCCAAAAATGTCATAGAGCGAGTTAAATCTGGAAAAATCAATTTCAGACCACCCATACCCATGTGAGGTGAGGAGCTGTTGATACACCAAAGACCTACTAAAAAACTTTACATACTTCACAAACCAGGGAATTTTCAACAGACTCTGGTGGGCGAATTGCCTCACCATGCCCTACAAGTTCTCCCACCACTTAGGAACAAAATGCTTGTTTTGCTCCAGATGCCAAGCCACTTTGGGGCCCTTTCAAAAAAGGAACATAATGTAAATGCTGGTAAAAAGAAACATACACATTTTCTATCACTGTGGCTTTGGTGAAATTGCTCCCAGTGCAAGCTCTAGAACAAGCTATGCCTTCAGTTTGGAAGACATCCAGATTTTTCACTGAAAACTTTTCAACAAAATATTTTTGCTAGCATGGTTCTTGGTCTAGAATGTTTTAGAGTGTTTTAGCTAGCATGGTTAGAATGTTTTAGAGAGACTTTGTAATAGTGATAAGTGTCAAATTTTGAAGCTTAAAGATTCATCCTAAAGAAAATTTGGTATGGAAACAGTATGATCATAATTTCAATGGTAATTTTGCGGTATCATGGTAATAATCATGGTAAGAGTTTCCATAATTTAGTCTCAGAAAAGATATAGTTCAAAACAAGTCACAGAATATTTATTTGAGCTGGTCTACAATACTTTACTCCTGGTTTCTTGAGGCTTTGGTATCCAGGGTAGCTAGATGTAATAAACTGCAAACATGAGAAAGATTTGAATCGGCAAAATTGCTTATTTTTCTAAGATAATGTCTTTAGTAGGAACATATCTAAACCAAATAGTTATCTTATCTTTTTCATATGTATGAAACAACCCATCTAGCCCTTACAACATAACAAACAGAAATTCCTTAGCATAAGCAGAAGCAGACAGAGGCATATTACCTGTCCATAAACCCCGTACAATTTCTTGGGGTGAGCATGGGCCCTTTAGAATAATGCTTAAAATCCTTAAAAAATGCCCGGTTACAAACTGACAGTGACATGCAGACATCAAATACTTTTTGTTGCAAACAGAAGCAAAAAATTCACCCTTGGCATACTGTAATTTGAAGACATTGCTTCTGCATTTGCTTCAGGGGGCATCATGGCCATGGGGCAGAAGGGGAAATGGCCCCCTCCGGTTTCAAAATTTGACAGATTTTCAAAAAAATCATTGTTTTGTCAGAAAATTTTCAAATTTGAGCTGTGGGTGAGATGGAGAAGTGAAACGAATTTTATTGAGGGCAATTCTTTTTAAACTTTTTAAACCCTCAGAATTTACCGATTGCTACCATAGATTATTTTGTACCCTGGTTACCAGAGCCTCACGAATCCAAGGATTCAGTATTGTGGACAGCTAAGCCTTACTCAAATGAATTTTCTGTGACTTGTTTCTAACTATATTTCTGAGACTAAAGAATAGTGACTCTTGCACCCAGGACGGAAATTGGTCAACATTGGTCATAAATTATATCTTTATATAATATTGAAAACCAGAACAGTGAGTGCCAATTTTGTGCCTATCACCATATTTGAAAATTTTGTCACAGACTCGAAAATTTGCATCTATGTTGCATAAGGTAAAACATTTGAAAACGAGAACAAGGAAGTCGATCAATACCATTGCTTTAGACCAGTGGATATTAAAATAGAATTTAATTATCAATATTTGCTCAAAAGAATGCAATAAATATTTTCGCAAATTTTTTCTTTCTTGCCCCCTCTATAGAGTTCATTCGCCACGACGCCTCTGATTTGCTTCCAACACAAACAGATCTTACCTTCCCACCCTCTGACCGAGCACCATTCTTGAATAGCTTTAATCTTGAAACCATCGTTTCTGTCAAGATGCAGCTCATAACTGCAGTTCAATTTCGTAAATAGACAAAAACTTCTGTTCCTAGATTTTTTAGTTCCCTTGAAACATTGGTAGAAAATCTAAGGTTAGAATGTAGGCCAGTCAACAACAACAACAACAACAACATAGGTGCACGGCGCCCCACTTTTTCAAAGATGAAAACTTTTTTGATGACTTTTTTTAATTATCTTTGAAAAAGAGTATAAAAAAAGAACAAACTGAATTTTACCAATTCATCTAGGTATATTTTTCTAATTGTCTATTATCTGCAACAATTCAGTAAATACCTTTCTGTATCATTGCAATGTCTGCATTTTGGATGTGTAAACATGGCCTACTGAAAATACTCGAGACAAAGAAGATGCACATTTCTGTTCAGGAAGTAAAATTTTCTCAATCAATACAATAGCTTCTTGTTATTTACATCGATGTGCACTTTGAACCAAAGGTCACCCTTTCTTTCTTTCCCCAACGTTTGTCACTAGCGTTTTAGCATGACTCCGCCCCTCCCAATTTTTTCCTAAAAATCAAGAATCAGTGTTTTTCTGTGAATCGTTGAATTGTCTGTTCTGAGTGGTATCTTAATTTGTTAATATTTAGTCTGGGAGATGCATGTTTAGCCATTCTAGAAGGCCGAATTCCAATAACTTTCTTCCGCGTCCGACCCACCCATTGTGGGTCCTCCTATGTCACTAAACTTGATTCTCTGCCGCAACCCCCCCCCCCAGGTTCATTTTCTTGACGCCGTCTCTGCAGAATGGTTTATTTCAATTACATCATTGCCAATGATGTAAATGATTGTATCGCGAGTAATCTACATTTTCTGGCAAAACGTTATTTGTCTAAATTTTGTTACAAATAACAAGTATGCCAGCTAAGTCATCATATTAGGAAGAAATTGCATAGGACCATAAAAAAGGTTAATCAGTTGAAAAAACGTTTCCAAACTTTTGCCATTGTACTTTATTGATTCATTTCTCCTTTACAAATTTAGGAGTTACATTACAAGTTAGAAAGCATCTAGGTGCCTTGGAAAAAATTTGCACTAAATCGGCCTTAATTTTGAGGAGTTACAATACTTTTTGCATTTGAATATCCAATATCTGAATCAAGATTTTTTAGTGTAAGGACCAGAGTCGCTTATTATAGTTTGCTTCTCGCTCAATCCATTGTTAACATTCTTTCAGGGAAGAACAAAACAGCTTTGATCTTAAGAGAAAACAAAAATCCAAGCCGCAGAGAGAAGAGAAAACAAGGCACATATCTACATTTTGGGGAGATCAAAAGTCACATAATCACATTAAATGTAGTTCAATTTTGGATCGAAGACAAAACAGACCCAGTATTTTCGCAAGCCTCGTTGAGGTAGAAACTTTTTTAAGGGGCACACTATCCCTTCATAAATCTTAACAATGTTTCTCAAACACATAGTGGAGTTGGGTTTCTTGAACATCTCTCCTTTATTAAAACTGCAAACACTCTTCTACACTCTACAAACTACAATTATAGGCAAACAAACGAATAACAAATCAATTCTACTCAAGACGCAGCTGATTTCATATCAAGCAGTTGAAAAAATGATCGATTTGGTCAGATAGAAATAGGATCAAAGTAAATGCAGACAAGTAAGCTGTAGATATACTATTAAGGCTGTGAGAAAACCGAACAAGCGTTTTTCTGACAAATCCTTACCATCTGGTACCAAGAATTACGGTACTGGAAAAGCTGCTGAATAAACGAATTTTTATTGAAGCTAAGTGTCAGATTCCAAGAGGATTTTAAAATAGTATTTTTAGCTGAATAATATCAAAGAAAAAATCTGCATGCTTTCCTGAAAAGGCTTGTTTAGTAAGGTCTATGCATCCTAGAACAAATCTTCAATATTCATATAGTAAATTCCCGGAAAGAAATGCTATTTTATCAAATAAATAAGGAGGATAATAGAAAAGGAGCCTATTTTTTTGCCAAGTCTACATACCAAATATTGGGATAATACAAAAGTTTTGTATGAACTCCAACTAATGATATAGAACGTACAACTTAAAAGAAACAAAAACACGCTTCTTTACTTGAAAGGTGTGAAATATATTTTGATTAAATCTAAATGTTGAAAAAGAACTTATGAAAAAGCTTCCAGAAGTTTCCATACTATTTTCTTCTTTTCTTTGTGTTGAAAGTTTTCGCGACTTTAGCACTTCGTTTTGTCGCCTTTACTATTCCATGAAATTTGCCAGATATTTTAGCTCTTTTCCTGTCAACCAAAACAATAAGTTGAGTGAGAAAATAGAGCATATAACAAAAGGAGTATATAACAATTTATAATTGACAATGAAAGTTATAAATGAAAAGTATTACACAAATCAAATGCTTTCCTAAAAAATTGATAGCTCCCAATTGTCAGACAATAATTTGTGTCCGTTTAGGGGAGGTGTAGGTCATAAAGTGGTGTCTGTAGTTGGGAAGTGTCTGTTGTAGGAAGTGGTATTCGTCGTGGGGTGGTGTACATTGTTGGGAGGTGTATGACGTAAAAGGGTGTAATTGTGGGGAGGTGCATGTTGTAGGGAGGTGTACGCTGTTTTGAGAGGTGTTTGTTGATGGGAGATGTCCAAATACACATTCTTTTGATGAAAAATTAGATTTTGGAATAAGAAATTTAAACTTTCCCGATAACAAAATGGGAAAGGGAGAACTGAATTATCAAATGACAATAAAAGTGACGAATTTCAATTGAAAAAAGAAAAGGGATACAAACCTTCTGTTTAGATTTTGTCTGTCTAAAGGAATATACGTGAATGGGTCTGGTTTCCCACGGACCTTCATATCACCACCAGCTTTCTGTAGTGAGGAACAAAACTATCAAGCCTCTGCATACCGAGAAAATTCGAAATCTTTCAAAAAATCGAAAAAAGGGGGAATTTTGTGTGTACATAGAATCAACTAGAACGGTCGTGGCACTTACTCTGACTAGACACAAATACAATGAATACAATGCTTGCCAAAGGAACTTGGAATGCCCAAACAATTTCAGTCAATTCTCAATCTGTTTTCAATTCGTGCATATAGTTATGTTGCCTCCCCCCCCCCCTCCAAGAAAACGACATTAGTATTCCACCATAGCTATCCTTATTCAAAAATAGCAAGTTTCATTCAAATTGCGTATTTCTATGGAGAATAATCAAGTTGAGAGAGGAGAGGGGAACCACTAATGTGAACGTAAAAAAGGCTAGTGGTGTTTCAAGACCTCTGGCAGGGATTGTAGGTCACTAAGGTCTTAAGGTTTCCTTATATGGTCTTACGATATATTTTCATGAGATATGGCTCATGCAAAATGCTAGATCAAGTAAAACAGATACTGACAAATCATATAACTCTTTTTACTGATCTGCGTTACCAACTTAGCAACTCGCTTGCTCACCAAGAGCAGGCAAGAATCCTCTTTTAGTAGCCAGAAAAACTCTCTTTTCAACATAAGCCAGCTGCAAAATCCATCAGATCATCAAACATGTTGATCACATCAGCATTTGTGCAGAATGCAAAGCACTACGCAATGTCCGACGAAGAGTCCCGCTAACGTTGCAGTTTTATTCTTTGCGCATACTTAAGTTTGCCGAGAAACTCATGCTAAGGCCTTTTGTAATCAAGTTTCTTTATCGCACATTCACCATACTGTTTTTGGCACCTCTTGCCATGATATTTTCCGATCTCAGCTGTTTGCCAGAGGCAATTGCTGAGAAATAGAAAAAAACCTGGCTAATTTACTTTGATTGCCTAAGGTAAATTAAACAAACTACAGCTTTCCCGAAAGTCATCAACGTCTGGAGCGTCCTGTTTGAACGTTGACTTGATGATCATCAAAAACAAAATAGCTCACCTTTGCTTTATACTCTGATCCAAAACTGTCTTGAGTTTGGCTTGCCTCTAGTTTTCGTGCTTGTTTTGTCCCAGCTCTGTGTATCCCAATACCTCCAGCTGAAATAAACCAGGGACTGTGTCAATCTTTTACACACTAATAATGCATGCATATACATGCAGAAACCTCATACAAAGTTAAGGACATTTTCATCATTTGGTTATTCTGTTTATACGCGCAATTTTCCTACGCTCCAGTCAAGAACAGGCTCAACTTTTCTAAACTTTGGCCGCAAAAATTACCCAAGGTGTTTGACTTTGAACTTGCTAAAAAGATACCCTATGTTTTTGATACATCATGAAAATGTTTTTCGGAAACTTCTTACATTACTAAACTTTGTATCTTTTTTACATTTACTGCTCGCCGAAATACTCGCCAATTGGCTATATATTTTTAAAGAAAGAGGTCATTTCAAGGCGATTTTTCGTGACATTTAAAATATAACAGAAAGCGTCATCCTGTTGCACATATTAATTTCAAGTTTTTCAGAAATGGCATGTTACGCGATAACCATGTCAATTATCTATTGTGAGGAAAGATTTCTTTAAAGATTGGAGATTATAAATGAGTTCCTTTTGCATATCCACATAAAAACATTCGAGAAATGGCATGTCATAAGTAATTACCATGAGAGAGTCACGCTGTTTAAAGATTAGAGACAGTAGGAGAAAATCATTTAACATTTGTGACGATAAAACACAATTTTCCGTTTCCTTCAAACAGATTTTCGTCTAATCCATGAATTCTAGAGATGAACATTTTGGTGACTATTAAGGGTCACTGCACTTAAAGTGAACGAAAACCCAGATTTTTGAATGAAATCTTCAGATTTAGTCAATTTTTATTCGATCGGAGTATTGAAACTTTATGTCAGAAAGACGATATGCAGGATAGGCTGTTTGCCGGATTTTGTGAGCCTTGCCATAAGTGAGGTAAAAGTAATAGACAGGGACAAAGCAAAATTGCGACGAGAATCCAATATATTGTAGCAGGGAATTTAAAATTAAACTAAATGTAAAGCTATCATTTCTTCTCAGCAAACAGGGCTTTATGAAACATTCTTTATCAAAAAACCAAGTTCAGTTAAGTATGGAATGGAAATAGTTTCTTAGAGATGCAGTCAAAGTTAGCATAATATCCCAATCATAAGAAATTCAAACAATGCAGAAATTAAAAGTCAATCCAATGTTCTTGCAAATTTTGCAATCAGTATGCCCCAAATCGGGCGGAAGAGCTCCTGGAAAGAGGGATAGTGTCCCTTTAAAAACACCTGGAAAGAGTGGTTCTGGTGGCCCATCTCTACTATTAGCCCCTTAGTTTTATCATGTCCATGACAACAAACCAAAACTCAGATTTTGTGATAGTTGGAGGGTCATGGTAGCCAACCTTCTGATAGAAGATGGTACCTGATGATGATGATGCCCCAAATCTATAATTCTTTACTTATACTAGCTTACGAACAAACTTTAGTTTGCATTTCATTCTGCTAGTCATTATTTTGTTCTGTTTGTTTGTATCAATTAGCTAATAACATATAAATACGATTAGGTAATGATATTCAAATGTAATGTATAAATTAGCTAGATATTGCATCCAACGTTAAATAAAGCGATTTAAAAAATTAGCAAAACAAAAGAGATACAAGTTTTTTTCTTCGTAGTCTCTAACACTCATGTTTTTCAATAAAAAGAAGGAGATAACTCACGTTGGTAGCCTGTGTTTTCTTCGTTGTCGTTGCTATTTTTGAAAGGTCTTTTTCGTGGCGTTGGCTGTAATACAGGATCGAATTTCACGATTAGAACAAAGAGGATTTAAAACGAAAACGTCTATCCAGGTTGTGTTCACCCAAAGTTGAATCCCAGCCCAGATCGGGCTTCTAGAGACTCCTTTCGAGGTGAGTGAAATTGGTTGTAAAATGGTGAATTCTATCTAGGGCGACCTCAACTCACCTTTACAGCCCATTGAAATTTGCCCCGGATGGAAAGGAAACATGCATTGAATTTGCTTAAAAAGCTGATCAAGAAAGAGGTTAAAACACTCTGAGCTGAAAAATCAAGGTCTTGAAACTCGCAACTAGTTCGAAATATTATGTAACGAAAGGCTAAAATTTCAAAACCCAGTTTATCTCAATACTCAGTGAAGCTCAATTTGGAATGACTTTCTCAAATGAAGAACGTATTTTTTACGATAGAGTCGCCAAGAAATGCATAAGTAGGCTTAGCAGAAACAATCTAACAAGGGGAATCCTCTTAGCTTTATAAAAGTAAATTTTATAGCCACATCAATTGAAAAGATGATACTAGAAAGTAAAGGAGGCCTAGGTTGTTGGATAAAATGGAAGGAAAAAAGCAAAATCCTTTATTTCAACTCAAAATTAGAATTTAAAGACAGAAAAGTACTTCATGAAATGGAGAAAAGTGCAAAAAGGAGAAAAGATGAAATGCAAAGCGAAAAATAGCTCAATGCCATGTCTCTGAACTTACTTGTTTGTCTTCATGTATTGGTATATATTCTTCGACAAGAAGAAAAAACAAATCAAAAAATGTAGCTAGCACAATAAATCTTGGGGAAAGCTTTAAAAACAATTACGGAAACTTAAAAGATTAATATGCGTGAAAACCAATTTTAAAAATGCTACATGAAAAATGAAGTCATTGCTTTTAAACTGCAAGTTATTGGTTGTTGGTTCATATAAGTTATGATTTTCTAATGTAAATTAAAGCATTCTCATATAACTTATTGGTTCAAAGTATAAAGTGCAAAAAATGTATTTGTAGAAGAACATTGAATAAAATCACTCAGAAACCGTGTAATTCCGGGAAAAGTACAAGATTTAATTTAGGTAGGTACTAAATAGATTATATGTAAGGGCTTTGCATTCATGAGGAGCAGAATTCCACATACAAATGCTTTGCTTGCTCGAACAAAAAAGGCAATTTGGAAGATACTGTTGCAATAGACTTACCAGCAGGAGGTTCAGACGTTTCCATTTCGTTTATAACGAGTTTTCCATCTTGAGTTGCAAAACCTCCATCTGGTTTTCTTTTGCCAGCTCTTGGCTCAGTTCCTAAAACACAATTATAAGTTATCAAAATACATTTGACTGTTACGAGAGTAAAGCTTGGGATGGTGAAAAGAAAAGCTGGAGTGAGTAATCTCTTTAATAATGATGGTCGGAAGGAGTAAAGGGGAATTGGCAAGAAAAGTTTATTTGAGGCTCATGAACGGTTGTCAAATAAGGGAAACCGTCGGTGGGAGTCAGTTTTGGATAGAAAGGGCGCAGTTGCCCTTAAATTGAAATATGCTAAGGAATCTATCTGCAAAATAGCTAGTATTTTTGACGAAGATCTTGCGAATCAGTTGATTAATTGTGTTTTCAATGCACATTCACTCAGTCTGAATAGCCTGGATCGCTCTTATTGATAAAAATTGATAAAAATAGGATTCAATATTGATTAAAATTCTCTTTTATCATTCAATCTTTTAAAAGACGGTGAAGTCATAGTCATACTTAATGTCACAAAATAACACCATAATAAAGAACACAAATATGATTAATGTAGGGATATCGTAAAATTTAACAACTAGATGATAAAAACATTAAAAACAATGAAAAAATGATGTAATGCGAAAACGAAAAAACAATAATTTGACAACAACAACAACAACAACAACAACAACAACAACAACAACTAACCTGAGATCTTCGAAGCCACTTTATTGTCCAATAAATCCACTACTTCGTGACCCTGTTCCATTATCCAACTTTCTGATTTCTAGTTTCATAAAAATCATTATGAGTGTAAAAAGGCGGTTAAATATTTTGAAACAAAAACCAACAGTAAAAGGAAATTGATTCATTATCCCCAAAGACATCAAAGTTCACATGGAACAGGTTAAGAACGTCTATCTCTAGATTCTGGCAATGATTATAATTGTGGTAACTCTTGCTTATCACAGATAGGCATGCCTGCAGTCAATGAAATTTCCTAGATAAACTAAAACATGGCGGATTGAGCTGCCCTAAAAATTTAGGTGCAAGACAATTTCTGAGTGTGGAAACATACTAATTTTTAACATCAATCAGATATCAACTCGGTATGAGGCTCAACCCGGGCTGACTTTTATCGTGTGAATAGCTAGTGCACGCGAATGATTCGTACGAGCCAGCAAACTGGTCAATTCTATTACACATCGCGGTGTTCGATGTAACGCGACAAAGAGGTTGAAATTTCTCAATTTGCTACCCAAATTACAGTTATTTTTTTGAGTTTATGTAAGGGAGGCTAAACTGTCCAAAATAGTAGCGATTCTGCAAATTGGTGGAACGAGGCACTTTAATTATGGCTTCAGAAGTAGTAGACTTGATAATCCTGAAGAATAACTCCCAGTTCACGTGCAGAGAACACGGAGCCATAAACAGACGTGTAACGATTAACTTCATCGTACAACTGAACAAAATTTACTTGCAAATTTGAATATTTATATACAATTACGATTTTCTCAAAACAAAACGAATTCTGTGTGAGAAAACCAAATGATCAAATGATGAGAAAACCGATTGATATTGTTCTAAAAAACCTTGATTCCAGCTAATCAAGTCATATGGTTCCTTCCAATAGATCATTCAACCTAACCAAAAATCAACTACACATTTCATGCTTGTATTATCATAAAGTGGATTATTTGCTTAAAAATTTATTTGAAGACTCTAAAGTACAGTTTTTAAAATGTATAAAAAAAGCAAGCACGTGCTGGTGCAGCTGCCTTTATTTCAATGGATATGACAAATGACGTACATTAGCCATTTGCAAAGCAAAAAAACAAAATAATCGAATTAGGTGGTGTTTTTTGAGCTTTCCTATTGGAGACAAAAAACAGTAGATGGTTGTGACACAGGTGTTCCCTTTGCCCATTGCATAATTCCAATCCTTGAAGCTTTACACAGGAAAGAGCCGACTTGCAAAGATAGCTATATAACTTCAATGTGAATTTGGTGATGACGACAAGAAGTCATAACTAGTTGAAATTCTAATGATTTCTTTGATTGTGAAATAGATGTACAAAAACCTTAAAACGAAAGCTTTGTATAAATAGGTATACGTAGAATAAATCACTCTTAATAATTCTGCTTTTTTTCTCTACATTTTATCATTTGATGTTTCTAACATTCTTTATTTTAAATCTTAACTTGAGATTCACAAGTAGAGCAACGGGGTAGCCTATATCCTATAAAATGAAAATTATTAATCGCGACCAATTCGCACGAACTGAAACCCGCGTTTAGCGCAATGGATGACGTCAGAATCAAGTTCACGAATATGTGCACCATCTCTAGCCAAATCTGAATTTATAAATTTTGTTCTCAGACCAAACTGGTGTATATAGCAGCACGAATAAGCATGACGATGGCACTGTCTCTAGCTAAGCATGCAGCTAAAGGGATAATCAACATTCCCTATCAATATTAACTGCGTTCAACCACAAAGGTAGACATTGATCAAGCGATATATTTTCTAGCTCTGTAAGTATGTGAAATAAGATGTCTGATACTACCTTGGTTTTACGAGTGGATTCAAATTGCTGGTTTTCTTCATCTGATGATAAATCACTAGACTCTTCCTGTTTAGTACCCTTTCTTCGTTTTGAATACAGCATTTCCTGTTATTAGAAATAAACGCATGTGATAAAACCATTCAAGCTCTTCTAGCCATAGTTTACAACTTTTCTCTTAAAGTAATTCCTAATTCATGCTTGTGTTGATACTGATTAGCTGATTGTGATGGACAGAAAATGACAGTAAATGATTAGAAAATGGGTGTCAATTGCAGCGAAGAGGTCTGCCATTTATGTAAAAGGACATTCACTAACTCTTTTCGAATTAATAAAGATGAACATATTATGAATCAAATGCAATACATGATCTAAGGGTTATATTCCATCAACAGTCTTCTAGAGTAAACAAAATAGTGTTATTTGATATTAGACAGAAATAAGTTTCCTATCCACACCTTTTTATCCTGAGATGCCTGTCTTTTTTTTTCAAGACCCTTGTTAATCGCAGTAATAAACTTTTGGTGTTCAGCTGGAGTAACTGACACTACAGTTTTATACCTGAAAACAAAGCGAGGTTGTAAGTCCTAAACTTGTGATAAAATTCTAGGTATGAGGCATTTCATATATATATATATTATTTTTCTTTCTATCAATATAAAAAAGTTAAAACACAAAAGTTTTATACATTCTACTGTGCCATCCAAAGCAGGAAAGGACACAAGGTCATCTGGTCCCTGCTTTGGATGGCACTTAAAATTTTCTTACTTTAGCAAAAAAATAGAATCTAAGGAAGCTTTATACCAAATAATACAAAACTCCATTTAATAATACAAATATTATCATTATCTCCATTAATCCAAGCTCTCTTTCAATTTTCTTTTTTTCAAATTCCAAAGCTAGAATTATCAAGCACAAGCATCGATTAGAATAAGATATCTTTTAGGTATTAAATTATGCCTTCTTAATGTATGCCTACAAACTTACCCAAGTTTCTTTATCAGCTTTTCCAAAATAAATTTTGTTTGTGTCCGTAATATATTTTTATCTCCTCTTTTACCATCAAATAGGTTTTTTACCTACAAAATTACAGCAAAAAAATCAGCTTTTAAATGTTGATAAAAAATCTTATCGATTTAAAAACCAACGTTTATACAAATTAATATAATTGGCAAAGTGAAAAAGTTCTACAAAAGAGACGGCAATGAGTGATAAGTAATCTGTGAATTCCTTTTTGCCGCATCATTCGTGGGAATTTAAAAGAGGTGCATGATGCTGGGGTAACAAGATGGTTGGAAGAGATAATACTAGTAACATCAATCAAATCAAAAAATAACTCAAAATTATCTTCACAATTCAATACAAAGATATATGATGCAAATAATAGAACTGATGATTGTTTTAATGTTGCCTGTTTCAATTGAGAGGGTTTGCTCATGGAAGATTGAGATTTCAAGAGAAAACTGCAGTTCGAAGAGTGTCGAGATTAAACAATGTATTGTATTGTATTGTATTGTATTGTATTGTATTGTATTGTATTGTATTGTATTGTATTGTATTGTATTGCATTGTATTTTGTATTGTATTTTGTATTGTATTTTGTATTGTATTTTGTATTGTATTTTGTATTGTATTTTGTATAGTATTTTGTATTGTATTTTGTATTGTATTTTGTATTGTATTTTGTATTGTATTTTGTATTGTATTTTGTATTGTATTTTGTATTGTATTTTGTATTGTATTTTGTATTGTATTTTGTATTGTATTTTGTATTGTATTTTGTATTGTATTTTGTATTGTATTTTGTATTGTATTTTGTATTGTATTGCATTGTATTGTATTGTATTTTGTATTGTATTTTGTATTGTATTTTGTATTGTATTGCATTGCATTGTATTGTATTGTATTGTATTGTAGAACATCGAATATTACATGATAAAATATTTCCACAAATGACCATTACAGCAACAAAACCCGTGTTCATATTGTGCATTACTCGACTTGCATGCTATTTACTCGGCCTCTGTTGAGATAACATCCAAATACAAGAAAAATGGAAATTAATATCACCCCGTGATAAACTCAAGAAGAAGCGAAATTTCGCATGTAATTGCCTTCTAAATATATATAAATATCTAAATATTGTCACCTACCATAACTCGCACGTTTGATAAAAGCTCTTCATGATCTAATAATGTAACCAGAGCCTAGAAATAAATGAAACAGCCTTGGGTAATCGAACTTATTGTTATTGTTATTTCAAGTGATAGGGAAAGTGGTTGATATACATAAATAGATCTAAAAACATCAACCATTTTCCTTATAAATATATTCTATATTTCTTCATGCACTAAGCCTTGGTCTAGTAAATAAGTAAATATTTATAGCTATATGGCTCTGACGATAATTTACAAATCCGAAAGAGAACGAAAAAATTGCTTTGGCTACGGTGAAGATCTCCGGGGTAATCATTTCTTTCATTCATTCCGGGGTGACTTCAGAAGGGCTGGTTCATAACAGGGGTGATCATTCAATTGGGCAGTCTGGCTCAGTAGAAAGGCCGCTGCTTTTGATTCCGCAGACTGGAGTTCGATTGCAACAAAGTAAATATTAACAGTTAAACAGCACCCTTTGGAAATGATTTCCTCCTGTCAGCGTTTGTCTACTGAATAAATAAATAAATATTATGATATACAGCAACAACAAATGCAAACTACCGCAATGTCTAATGAGCTACCTTTGAAAGAGCCAAGGCTGATTTTTGCACCTCCCTGTCTTTTGAACGAAGGAGACCAACGCTGGACAAAAGAAGCTTTTGCACAATGTTTGGCTCTAAAAATTCTAAAACCAAAATGAGAAGTATAATAAAACATCCATTTACCATTACCCATATTCTGAAAAAAAAATGAGATATTTGCAGAAATTAAGATATATCTCTCCAAGACATGTGAAATTAATGCGAACTGGTGAACTTGACAACGCGTCTCTTTGGCTCAATTCTCCTTTTGAACCGATCTAGAATTTTTTCTTGTACACAACCATGTTTTACTAAGAAGCGGTAAGCCACCCTTGATGCCCGTACACACACTGCTTATAAAAGCTGACTCAATAATGCTAGCTTACCATATAAGTATATGCATGGAGAATGGAAAGCTAAAGGTATTTCCACAGACTCAAAAAACGAATACTTGCGAGGATTTGGAAAAGTTAGAAATTGGCAAGGAGCACCGCGATGCACCGTTAAGGAAACACAAAAGACTATATAGATCGAGAAAGATATATGTCCAAATGAACCATGGCAATAAAGGCTTCTTAAAAGCTTCTCATTATACCTAGCGTCTAGCGTATGGACCACAAACACATATTCAATGAAACTACCCACCTCTGTAAACACTGCTTATTTTACCAAGAGAAATTAGCGTTGCACTGATCATGTGGGAAGAGGCAGCCAGACCTGCCATAACAAGCTCGATGTATTCTGAAACAGACTCTGCAAAAGAACGCAATGTTTAAGGCTACAAGTTAGATATCAATATAAAAATACAATTCACTTATACTACAGATTGTTTTTTGGCAAGTTGGAGAAGTTATCCTTCTTAATGTAATACAAAAATAAAACTTTACTTGTTAGACTGGCAGTCGATTCTTGGAACTCTAATTTTGTTTAAAAGGCAATGGTAAATATGACATGCTTCAATGCAGCACATTTATATAGGTCGATAAGATGTATTGGAACAGACAGAAAAGTACCTTCTTTCGATTTGTCTCCGTGGTAAATTGTGCTGTTTCCTATTTCCACAACTAGATTAAAGGCAGCTTCCCTGGCCTTCTCGTTATTGGCCTTCGTACACAGGATCACCTTGAAAACAATCATAATCATTTAGTGCAGGAATATTTTACTTATGCAAAGGCAAATAACGTAGCTGTATTTATCGCTAAAGAATTTGACGTCGCCAGAATGTTTCCTCTCACCACATTAATGTTATACAAAAATAAAACAATTCCTATTAGGCTGGCAGTCAATTTTTTGAACCTTAATTTCGTTTAAAAAGCAATGATAAATATATGACTTGCTTCAATGCAATATGGAATGCCGAACATCAACCTGAAGTTTTTTTTCTTTCAAATTTGATATAAGCAACGACTAAATATGCCGTTCATTCTCTTCCTTTTGACAAATATTGGTCTTTTTTCATTATTTCATAACATCATTGGGATCCTTTTTGCCATTCACACAAGGCTTCAAGATATCAGAAATACTGTGGGAAATTCAAAATATTACACATAATGAATCTAAGTTCACGGATTAATCATTGCTTGTAATGAAAATTAATCTATGAGCTCATGTCCAAAAATATATAAAATGGAAAGTAAACATTTAAACTGAATAGTTAAATTTCCAAACTGCTATGTCCAGTAAATAATGAATTACAGTTAAACGAATACAATGTTAGTAAAAACCAAATTTCTTTTCCACAACTGTACCTCAGGCAAAATTGACATCAAAAAGTCTTTCTTTTCTGCTTTTAACATCTTTATTATCCCTGTTAAACATCTTAGTCTTGGCTAGAAAATAAAAAAGGAAAATAATCAAAGGATTTCAATTTTCATTCGCTTAAACCCATATGCACAAACCACCTGATATTCGCACTATCTCATAGAGCAAAAAACTTCTTCGTATATAAGACAAGTCCAAAACGTCATCGTGTATATTGTATTTTATGCAGCAATGATCGATGCAGTATTGAATCCGGACTCGGACACATTAAAATGTCGACATACCGCCTTGGAAGATGGTGCTGTGGCGGACATAGACGTAAACAGCCTCTCTTTCATGTCATCCAGTTTCTTTAAAGCAAAACGTTGACAGGCTTCTGATCTTCCGTCACAAATTTCTTCTAAAATGCGGTAAGCTTTTTTTTGCTCGCTGACTTCGACACTCTGATGGAAAAAGCCAAATAATTATAAAAGAGAATTTTTAGAAACCAGTTAAGTATCTAAGTTGAAACAAACTGAAGTTGAAACAAACTGAACCGAACATAACTCGGCTAAAGTGAATTGAAATGAATTGAATTGATATGAATTAAACAAAACTGACCTGGATTAAACTAAACAGGATTGGACTGAACTGGAAAGATCTTTTTCTTGTTTCTATGGCCGCTACGCCATAGATTCTCACTGTAATTCTTGTTATGAAATGTTTATGTTTAACTATGCTTCAAGAGTTTCTGGGTTACCATTCATCAAAATGGAATAAATGGTATGTTTTGTGGAAAATGCAAGAAAACTTCGTAATTACAAAAATACGCTTAATCGAATATTCAAATAGGAAACCTTGCAAACTGGAGTTTAAATTTATATCTGATCACCCCTGTCATCCATAAACATTAAGTGTTCCTTTAAGCTATATTAGGTGCTTTGCATGATCTTTTCCACAAAGCAAAGAACTTTCTGCCCATCCTATATCTAAACTTCATTGCCTTGATTCTAATATTGATTCCATTTCAATTACAAACCTGAATCAGCGAAATCGCAGTGTTGTAAACTTTACTGATGCAATCTTCACTAGAATATGCAACCATTGCGATGAGCAAATCCAGCAAAGCTTGCCTGCAATTCAAAAAGTTATTTGAAGTTGTTTATACTCATCAGGTAGCATAGAACCTGGACACGACATCGCTAATATGTCATCAGATAAAAGTATATCTAAAGAAAACTTTGGGGAGCAGTTGCTGAATATCTTCTGTTTATACCACCAAAAAGTAAGTCATATCAGGTTAGTTTGTGAACAGTCCTCTTCATACCCAAATTACCTTCTTACGGTATTTACCTACGGCAAAGGGTTTGTGAGACGCCATCAAAATATAAATTTTCCATTGAAAAAGAGGCTATGCATGAAAGGGAGACTTTGCTCTTTCTGCGTAAACTAAGTTTACAGGCCGAATTTTGACAGTAATTCCCACAATTCATAGACGTAGTGAGGTTTTGTTACAATCTAAGGACCAATTCGCTTGGTTGACAGAAAGCCAGATAACAAAGACAACCATAGGGCGGTACAGCCATACAGACAGGTAGCAGTTGGCCCAAATGAAATAGTGACAAATCTTAACCGTTGACACATTGATTAATAACAGCATAATAGAAAACTTATCCATTGCCTTAAGTTAAAATGTTTTTTATCATTCCTTATTCTAGCTATATCCTACATATCAAAATTAATTCCACAAATCATCATATCATAAACTATTCCGTCAACCAGATATGGTTTATCAACAGGTTTTGAATTCTCAGTTCACAGACTAAGTTGCATTGGGAATTAGAGCCATGTCCTGATCAAATAAATGCTCTACCTCTTTTTCTGAGGGCATCCTTCTTCTTTGAGCTTCCCGTGTGCATTTTCAACAAAAACAGTAATCAGCTGTGAATAAAAAAGGTCTCTAATTATTTCTAATTTAAAAAGGCATACACACATGCAAATCCTTAGGGGCGTCAAATTTCTAACGTAAAAAATAACAAATCGTGGAAAAGTACAATAAAAAAAAGATGGAATTAAATTTTTCATTAGGAGAAAAAGGAAATCTCCAAGGGAATGATGAAAACAAATGTTCGAGTTATCGGGGGTTCCAGTTATCGTGTAAAATAAGAATATAAAAGCAGTTCGAGTTAGCGAGAACTCTAGTTATAGGGGATTCGAGCTATCGGAGGCCCGAATTATCGTAGCTATCAGCTATAAAGAATACGAGCTAGTTGGGATTCCAATTATTGGGGATGCAAGTTATCAAATAAGAAAGTATCAACGGACGTTTCAATGGGAATGCAAAAACAAGAATTCTAGTTATACTCGATTCAAGTTATCGTGGCTATGAGCTATTAGGAATACAATTATCGAGAATTTAAGTTGACCTTTCAATAGGAGCGCAATAACAGTTGGAGATAACGAGAATTCTAGTTATATTGGATCCAAGTTATTGGAGGTTCGAGTAATCAATATTAATATACTGTAATTCAGAGCTTCGCCCACCGGCTCATCGCTTATCTTGACATATGTTTTGATGGTTTCCAGGACGGGTAATGACAGATGCTCGTTGCCAGCCTCACTTTCAGTCAGATACAAGTTGAAAAGAATTGGAAGGTAGTTCTTGCTGAACTTTCTCAATTCGTTCACTTCTTCATCTGCAAAGAAAGGAAAATTAAGATCATGTTAGCATTCATGACGGCACCAAATTAGAGTTACCAGTCCTATCATTTGGGGCACGGCAAATGGGGGCAGTGGTGGGGGAAGGATGCAGAACCTGCAGTGTTTGCAAAATAAACAGAATTATTGGCTATATGGGATAAAACAAATTTGACAGACGTCTGACAGTTGGCCCCCAGCTTATATAGTGAAAAACAAAAAAATGTATAAAAGTAAAAAATGTTTCATGGAGGGTAGAGACTATTCAATATTTATTTTAACCTCATCGAATCATTGAGTTAGTCTTTACCATGTATATGAATGAATTTGACAGGATAATGGTTTATCAAATAATGATTCAGGCTGTGTGGACTGTGAAGGCCCATGATAAGGTTTGTCACAATATTCTTCTTTAGTTGTTCTCAGAATTTACAGTCCATGCTGCCAAACAATTATCTAAATATGCTTTACACTTTTTTCCTCACTTTGATAAGAATGAATTTTTCTTCATAAGCTACATAAAATCTTCTGCGTTTCATTGCATCATTCTTTAGGCAGTTTTTTTTTCTGACTTCTTTTATTGAAAATAAACTTTATGCAAAAATATGTTTTGAGACTATTTTATGCAAAATAAACTTTATGCAGCCAATACAAGGGTTACCTCATAGTCTCCAGCAAATATTCCTTGAGGTAGGAAAATCGGATGAAGACCTCTCAAAGTTTTATATAAAAAAACAGGATGTTAAGATGTTAAGAGGTATTAAACTTGCACATTACAAAAACTTTTATACCCAAATTTAACTTACTTTGCTAAAAATCAAAGCAGAAAAAGATCGGTGGACAAAATTGGTCTATCATTCAAAACAGGTACGAAAGATGGTGCCGAAATTATTTGAAAATTTTCATGTAAAAAGCAGTGTTAAATGTGAATTGAAGCATATGGGATTCTTTTGCTTGATTTGCTGAAAACGCTACCTAGGCACAGGAAAGTCCTTAGAAACCCCAGCAACTTAAACACTTGAACCATGCAAGCAAAAGGCAAAACGATAAGACAAACGGATGTAGTTCATTTAAAGATAAACGTGGATTGAAATCTTCCTACCGGTATTCGCAGCCTTAGTAACTGCTGCTCGGATTGACTGAAGAATCACAAGACGCAGTTTTGGTTCATCGACCAAAGCTTTCCCAAGAATGCGTGCAATATTCTTAAACGACTGCAAAATAAAAATAAATGTATTTTATTCCAACGGTATTGGATGGTAGTATCAAATTCTTATATCGCGCTCTATGATAGAAGCAAGTCCTGGTCTTGTAATCGCATAATGATGGCAATTACTGAAGAAAGTAGCGAATAGTGGAACGAATATCAAAAGCAGTCTGTAATATGTTAATCAGTTCTTGATGAAAGTATCTGGTAATAGAGGGGTTTGAATCAAGTTGACCACACCATTGCTGTGTAGCAAAAATGCATATTATAATAAGAAGTGAAAATACATTCAATGTAGCTTACTTAATAAAGTCGTGATTAGATTCTTACTGGTATTGTGATTTTCTTTTTTGCATGAGCATAAACAGTTAATAATGCGTTTTAGGTAGAAAGCCCACTGAAAATCAGCTACAGGTTTACCTTTCTTAAGTGCATAAAACAGCTCAATCAAACGACCAAACAACCAATCAACCTATCAACCAACCGCTCAATCAAAGAACAAGCAAAACAACGAGCAAACAAATATCGATAGTTTGAAGTGATGATGATAAACGAGACAGTTTCTGGTCCACCGAGCCGGATGGTAAAACTGATAGCACTCCTATAGAAAAACTAATAGCATTCGCTTTCACATGCTTTTATCAAAATATAAAACACGGGCTCTTACTTCCTTGAGGTCAATCGGCTTGTTGAAAAAGCCAGGAAGCAGAGACCAAACCTAAAATTGAAATATAATATGGCATTACAATGATATTTATTAACAAAGATTTGAATGAGTACCAGACAACCATAAAAGCATTCTTGTTTATGACTAGACATTACAACACGCGTCTTTTTTTCAAGAGCCTGTGCTCAAGTAGTCGTTAAAGGAAACTGTCTAGAGCAATTATTTTCAAAATGACAATCACAACAGTTAACTCTTCAGACACGTCAAGATCGCAGACTTAACTCTTCGATCACACCGCAAACTCACCAAGTGCAAAAATGTTTTGACCCAACGTTAACAGATAAGGCCGGTTTCCACTAAATTCGCTCTGGTAGCGCGACATTGGCCAAACGAATCTACAAGACAGCGAATCAACAAGTCATAGAATCGACGAACGCGACCAGTCGCTCAGTATTTCTCGACGAACGGTCGCGCATTCGCAGTGAAAGAGGAAGTTGAGTCTTGTGCATGCACAGAAGTGCGTTCGCTCAATCGCGCGACCAATGCGAATCTAGTGAAAACCGGCTTTTAGCCGACAAAACCTAAGATGTGTAACCCTTTACAGAGATTGACTGGCAAACCTGTTGTTGTAATGTAGAATATATTGTCGCTTCTAAGACAAGGCCAGCTTCCATAGACGATGCCTCTATGAAAATAAAAACATTTGGGTTTAAAAACATTCATAGCTACAAAAAAAACTTCAAAGACAAGGGGTGTAGTTAAAAAAGATTACTGTTAGCCGGTCAGTTGGCAAGGTAAAGAGTGAGCAGCAAGTTCCTGAATGTATAAAACAAAACTTTAGTGGCTACAATATTTAGTGGCTACACCGATGTTGATGCTTAACGCGACTATCGGGCATTAGACAACTAAAGAAGCAGATATTTAATTCATATCAATCTTATGATTATGAAAATTCAGGTCTCTTTAGCATTTTTGGCAATCATGAGCAAAAAACTAAGAAATCAACTGGGCAAAAATATTTCTTACATATAATAAGGTAGATGTTCATTGCCTTTATGACATCATTTGAGTATCAAATTATGTTGCCCCAAGGATAACCAACATTAATTAGCATGCATGGTTTAAATACACTTTTGTGTACAGAAAAGTCTGTTTCACCCCAAACTACTCTTTCTGTGGATGTAACTATATAAAGTTGTTATGTCTGTGGAAGTATCAGGATTTTCAATTTGCCGCAGGTTTTAGTTAAGGGGCAATTATCAATCGACTTAAATACTGGCACTTAGATAAGAGGAACTTATGTCGGTATTTAGAAATAGGTTCGGATTTTTAAATAGTTTAAATATAAAAGCTAAAAAAATTCCATTAAAATCATTCAATTTTGCAGCTATCACAAAAAACTTCAACTTCTCGTATAGATAAGAGAATTTGGTGTTACCATTATAGAGCATTCGTTATAAAGTGAATTCAAATGCGTCCTAACTTTTATTAAGATGCAATATTGCAAGCTAAAGTTTAATAATATCATAGACATTTGATACTGAAATTAAATTATAATAAAAAAATATTGCTAGCTTTATCACCTCGTTCTCTCAAGTGCGCGAGAGTTGGCAGGAAGTGTGAGATGAAAAACTGCAATTCAGCACCCTCGATATTATCTTTGATAAGTGAAAGCATCCAAGCCCTTGGAAAGTCGCATTTCTTACTGAAATAGAAGCATCGCAATCGTCAGTAAAGAGACATTCTGTTTATAAATCTTAACTATTAAAATCAACAAAATAACCAAGAAATCCAAGTAAAGACTGCCATACGTACTCTTCTCTTACAAGCTTTAAGGGTATAGCACTCAGCACCACCCTGAAAATAGAAAAAGTACCTAAAAAGCTAGGTTCCAACATTGCTGACAAGGTCACAAAATATCAACAGGCAACGAGCATCTTTGGTAGGGTCAAACCTACTTTGGATGTACTTGAGAATTTTCAACGATAAATTTACTGAAGGATCGTCAATAAGCAAGTATGATACAGGAAATAAGACTGATATCCAAATTCTAAGGCTGTATGAAGACTACAGTAAAAAGAGTTTTAATTACTGTCTGACACTAACAATTACACTGGTCTGAAAACCTGGAATGATATCCCAACACACATTAGAGAGTCTGACACACAAACTCGGTTTAAGAAGGGACTAAGAAAACATTTTCTAAGCTGAAGAAATAATCTTTCCATGCATGAATCCATGGAAAAACAGTACTGGTTTCGTAATCTCTAATTTGTTCATATTCTTCTAAATGTATATATATATATATATATATACAATTAAAAGGATTCAAACAAGACTCTTGCCAAAATCAGATTTAATCATAATACGTTGAAATCAAACTTTAAGGCTCCTGCGCAACAGGCACGCTTTGCGACCATAATTCAAAAGACCGGCCTAATATCGAACTGCATGAAAATACAAAACACAGTCAATTTATCAAACAACTGCCGTTAAGCATGCCGGTTTTGCAAAAGCCTTTAAAATTGTATCAATAAATATTTCCTGTAAAATATCGATACTTTCAAAATGCTATTAAATATTGATACTGATTTTGACCAACAGGACCGATTAATTATCGACCTTGATTAGAAATGACACAATAACACTGTCAACATGCTTATTGTCCAACCCACCGACAATTAAAAGCTTTCTACTCTAATCGTTTGAGTTAATCTTTCTACAGCTTTGGGATGTTTGATGCAATAAAATTTTTTAGATATCTGTTCTTTTACGTCAAAGAGAGCACTCACTAAGAGAATTAGCTTGCATATGGTCGTAAACAATTAACGCCATCTGTTCATTTCAGAAGTTTCTAGGTTCTTGACTATGTTCATTTCTTGCAAATAGATCCATGTGTGACGCTACAACAGCATCTGTTACACCCCCATCAAACAGCCTTTTCTGTCTATTTTGAATTATACTACTCTCTGGCTTGAAAAATAATTTCACGGACAATACTTCATATAGATGTATAATTAACAACTTTGAAAATACATCTGTTACCACAGTTATAGCAAATTCACATTTACGTAAGTCACTCCACGTGCTTTCCTTGGGGATCGTTCTTTGAAAATAACAAAAACACTTACAAACCTTCCTTATTACTTTCGCACCCTTAAGAAAACTTCACAATGAAAATACAAGGCTATACAGTACAAGACATGCCCAGAACAACCTCTGCTTAAAGACCGTCCAATTTTAAATCATTAATCTGACACAAAACAACACTCACTTTGGACCCATGCTTCTAAAAGCTTGTGAGACTGACTTTTCTACTTCCTTCAGTAGTGGAAAATCTTCGTTGTTGTGTAACTCGCAGAGATTAACCAAACACTGCAAAAATACAATTCATAACACAACTGGTGATGCTAATAAATCTGAATTGAACTGAACACGAGCAAGAGTTTAATCTTTAGAAGCTTAAGCGTGTCCTGCCAGCCTGTAAGGCACCAAGTACTGAATGGCAGTCCAGAAAAAAATAGTTTTATAAACTTTAAAACACCAGAAATATATATTCTTGCGTTGCGATTACCAAAGGAAAATTCGATTGCGAAAGATCAAAAGTCACTCTGAAAGCGTTTGGACGGCAAACTCGATTTGATTGCACTATGTTTGGATGCAAAAGTATTTCAAACAGCAGATAAGAAAATTTGCAGTTTAGAAAATTTACTTATATGTGTAGACAGAGCCTTAAACACCACGGTCGGGGATAGTAAGTCAAGACTTGTGGATACTTGTCTCACAACAAAAGCATTTCAGAAACCGGCTGTTGTTAAATGCATATCGAATCAGCACTCACTTTGATCATATTCTTGTGAAATTTGCGTCCGAACTCCTGCAAGAGAATTTCGATTTAACGTTGAAGTACAAGTAACATAATTGAAGTACAATTTTACAAATACAATTACGATAGGCACCTTTTATTGGAAACCCTCATTAAGAAACCCAGTACTGGTGCTGCTGAGAAAGTAAGAAACTCTCAGTACCAGCTGATAAAATTTCTGGGAACTCGATGTTAACTGTCAGTAGTAAATCTACTCTATCCAAGGAATCCTGTCCTGTGTTGTTATAAAGGACGACGAAATGCATGTCAATACTTCTTCAGTTCGTGCCCTTCTGAGCAAAAAATATTTTTCGACGACGAAGTATTCAACGTGTTTGGTGGGATGATTTTTATCAATTTTAAGTCAAATACACCGATTCAACTTACAGCTTCATATTGAAAAATTCTTCGGATTTTTTGAAGAAAATTGAGAGCAAGAATTTTAGTCTACTTGGAAGTTTTCATAAAGTTGTTGGTCACGAAATTGATTTTATGACGACATAAAAATAAAAAAATTTTAAGGGATTTGACCGTGATTGGTGAAAAAGGGAATAAAGATTAACCCGGAACGATTTTTGCGGTCAAATCCCTTACAAGTTTTCAAATTTGATTTTCAAACTTCAAAGTTTTCATACAAGCATAAGCAATATGAACAAATTTTATCCGGCTTAAAATTATGGTGATAAAACCAAGTCTGAGCATAAAAAAGTCGTACAATGAAGTTTGGAGAAATTTGCAAACCCTGCCAGTGGCCATGGTTTCGAATCATTTTAACGAGCAATTGAAATGGTATCGAAGGTGACAAAAAATATCACAGTAGTTTCAAACCTTGAAAAAAAGTGTAATCAAATCAATAACAACATTCCAGGCCGGCTGATATTTATACTTCAATCCATGCTCGATTTGCCTGTAACAAAATTAATTAATTAATTAGCAGTCCTCGATGTACATCTATAATGGAAAGGTAGTTTTTGGACCAACATTCTTTAAAAAGTCAAATGTAGATCGAAGGAAAAACAAAAAAACTGACGATTTGCTATCAGACTTGATTTTGCTATCAGATTATAGATATTTTAAAGGACTTATGCCACCAATTTTAGCGTTTTGGCGCCAATTTTTTTTCGCTTGATACTTGTAAGTAAAAGCTCTCTAAACATGCCTGCTAAATATTGCCACGATCTGGGGTTTGTAAGACCCCCAAAACGGCTATTTGAATTTTGGCGGCAAACTTATCAAGTGATGCTGTGACGGAGAAGTTGACAACCCCGACATTAAAAGCATTGCACTTAGACCAGTTGCTGAAAGGGGAGCGTTGCCCCCGAGAGGACAAATTATTGGATGAAATTTTTCTGGGGTTGTTTTGGGCGTAGATTTTGAATCTGGATGTTGATCGGGCGGGCGTGGAGGTGTTTTCTAGATATGGGAGGTCGAAGGAGAAATTTCATGTGTCTCTGTATAAATCATTTTTGCAAGGAAAATATAAGACAGCAATGTTCGAAGCAATGCATATCCAATGTATCTCGAGCTTTCGGTGGATATTTGACAAACGTTGAATGTGTCAGAAGCGGGAGCCCATCCAAGATGTTGTCTTGTCGGAAAAAAGTGGTTGCCGTCTGAAATTTGTTTTCTTAGTAAATAACTTTAAGTAAGTTGAAAATGAAGCCTTTATTTTTTCTACTAAAGGAAAAAGAATAACTTATGTTACTGGTATAGGGGGCGTTGTGGAAGTCGAATACAGTGGCGTACCCACGGGGGGAATAAGGGGTCCAGACCCCCCCCACTTTTCTAAAATATGGTCCTTGAGATTTGTCCAAAAATGATGTAAAACTCATGGAGGGGGGGGGGGTTATACTGTATGCTTGTGTCAATAACAACTGTAAAATACTTTGCTATTTACCTTAGCTAACATGAATAATTGGGTAAATTTTGCCAAAAGGGCGTTCCTCCGCATCTGCGAGTGTTTGAAGGGCATGGACCAACAACATTTTCTGGGGCCTGCGTCCCAGACCCCCCCCCCCCTCACTGCTGAAGCCCTGGGGACGCCACTGGTCGAATATTTAATCATTTAGCGGGCATGAAATTCTACTTCTTCTCGGCTGATTAAAAAAACTTTATAAAAAAATTTTCTACTCAGGTTTTACTGGCCAATAAGACGATGAAAACAAAGCAAAAAACAAAAATTGCTCAATCAACCTTCCAATCCTAGCTAAATTTCAAGGAGTAAAAAACTTCCCACTCAGTATTTTTCATTTCCTTTGCTCTAACTTGCTCTAACGTACGTCAATTTCCTTCCTCCGATTAATTCGTTATAACATTATTTTATTTGCCGCGTTTTCCGTTTTATTAAACATGGTTCAAAACTATAATGTACGACATCCCAAAACAACATCCAGTGAAAAAATCTGTTTCGAAACTCCTCATTTTTGCAAAATAAATCAACTTTCTATGCGCGAGTAGCGAAAAGCCTACGCATTTCAAGTTTAGGCCTGTCTCCGCTTCTCAACTTCCAAGTCATGTGGTCACGTGATACTTTTGTAAATTTGCATCTACGGCTCCCTCTATATTAAATTCTTGTCTAAAATGAATTAAACTCTAGAAAACAAACTCATTCAGGCAATTAAAATTTAGTTTTTTTTCATCTTGTTATAAACACGTTGAAATGTGCCTGGACAAAATGACACACTTGGGTGACTAACGAAATGACATTTCTAATTAGAGTATATTCACGAGGAAAAAAATTTGAGCAGATTCTTGTTTATCAATTGAATATTTCACTTGACCAAGTCGCAATGTGAGAGGTTTATTAATCCATTGCAAATTTATATGTTCAAATTAAGATGATTGTGACATCAACATCTATGAACTTTTTTGATGCAAATTCTGGTCGAAGAAAAAAGTTAAAAAAAACCTGAAAATGCTCTGGAAAGAAGATAATCCCTTATCATCAGTATCGCTCTCCATAAGGTCACGTGATGGTACCATACACTTCTCAACCAGTCCCTTCGAAAAGATATAGTAAAAACATTTGTTAGGTTACAACAGCATGCATTGGAAAGTCAAGTTCACTGCAACCTCAATTAACAGAAGACAAAACTGAAAATTCAGCTGACAAATACAAAAGGAGGTCTGCAGGCTAGCAGGCAAATTCCAAAAGAATTCCAATAATTAGGACAATGTCATTTAACGAAAACTAAAGTCCAAATTGAGAAATGTGACAGCAAATTTTGTTTGCTATGGACAAATATGTAGGAAATTGAAAATTTTGATGAAAAATTACTTAGCAAAGAATAAGTATTTTAAATTTAAAGACCAATGATTCACGAGTCAAAATAATTGCTTTCAAAAACAAATTTTTGAAAAGAAATTTCGAGGAGCTAACCCTTTGATTGTGGATTGATATTATTGTCGAAATTTCGGAAACGACGAGATCATGTCAGTATACAAATTATGTTGCAGTTTTGGACATTTTCAGTGAATATTTCGCGAACTTGCATCGACCTAGGTTATACCCAAAGCGTGTGACTTTTGTTGCATTTTGAAATCCAGAAATAAATTTGTTAGAGATAGGCAACTTCCATTGGAATTAAAAGATGTTAGTGGTGGTTGTTTTATAGGTAGTATCAAATTTTTAAGGCAAATTTTGAGTACATCACAAGTGTGTTTGTTTTTGTTTTGATTTTAATAGCACAACACATTCGAGAACTGGAATTTCCAAAAAACCAATTGGCTTGCTGTAAAGGGAAGATTTGAACAATATATTTCTGCCAATGTTTTTAACTTTTTCAGGGACTGTTGGCCAGTTTACTTCTAGGAGCTTCCTTGCATAGCAGAAGTAGGACTGCACAAGAAGACCGAAAGAAAAATTTTATCTCCCTTTATGTAAAAATAACTCAGGCCAAAAAGAATTAACCTACCTGGGGCCCAAAATTTGGAAAACTTATCTACGCATATCAAATCCATATTAAGCATAAAAAAAAAAGAAATTTCATGTAGAAGATAGAAAATGCAGACAATTATCAAGAAAAACAGTTTCAAAAAATTGTTCTTTCAACTGCAAACTTCAAAGAAGATCAGTATAAAAAAGTATTTCGATTCTTTTAATGCTATCACTGCCACTTTACTTAAGGGATTTACGTATTTTTAACTTATAATGTAAACTATAATTAGTTTTTGACATTATTCGTGTAATTAGTTTTTATTTCATGATGATCAAACAAATTTTATAAGAGTTAATTTTATGCCACACTATCGAAAATAAAAAATATTGAAATTATTTTAATATAGCAAAATGAGAACCTTTGCAGTTTCAGCAGCGTAAGATACAGTCACCCTTGAATCCGATAGGATAAACGTCATTACGGAGGCAAATATTCTTGGAAGGCTGGCAAGACATTCTTTCTCTCCGACACTGAAAAAGATAAATCAGGTGGCAAGTAGCAGAAATCAATGAATATTGCTTAGATTTGTATATGAGACCCTTTTAGAAGATTTTTTCAAACCCCAAGCTATTAAATGGCCAGCTAATTGCATTAAGCATGATACTCGGAGTAGCAACTTTGAGCCATTCTGTTCTGTGCATCAAAAGCGTAATGATAAACTTAGATAGTTTGTTGAAATTATGGTCACACTTTTATTTGCTGTATTAGGAGTAAATGATTTCAGCTAAAATGTTGGCCATACAATACGACAACTACTAAAATTAAAAATTGCAATTTCAACAAATTTGAGAAGCACTCAGTAAAGGAAAAGCTCTACTGATGCTATTTATAAAGATATCAGAATAACTTAGAATACAGAAGGCAAAATGTTGATTACAGCTTCAAAAAATCTAAGAGAAAAGCTTTTGGACTTTGAGGGAATGGGAAGATCTATTCATAAAAATATTGTTTTTTGGCAAAAAAAAGAGTTGCTGTAAAACATATGACCTTTGCTTTATGATTGGCAAGCAGGTATTTAATTGGCAAACAATAGCCAAACATTGCAACGTCACAGTGCCACAAAATAAAATATTGTTTGCGTCTTTTCTCGGAAAGAGGCAACTTTTCAGCCTTATAACTAAATGGATTATAGGGGTTCTGCGATGGAAGCATCTTTTCAGTCACTAACAGTCAGAAGCCCTCCAAAATGACAATCAAAAATTGACTTACATGGACAAATTTTCGTAAGCGGACAACATCGCTTTTAGCCAGGCACCAGCGATGTTAACATCATTGATGCTTGGTTGGAAGTCGTACAGAGCCTATCAATGAAAGAAAATGTAACTGAATACGCTTTATTGAAGAAATGCAGAACAACAATGGAGGGAGCACAACCCAGTATGTAACAGCAAGCATGTGTCGAAACCCAGCTTCATTTACATGTCATAAAATTGTTCTGATTGTCCTAACTCTACAATTAATTCTGGAACTTTCTGTAGCGATTTGTCCTTAATTTCATAAAATTCTTGACAGTATAATTGCTTAGTGTTGTTCAATTTTCAAATTATCCTTTTTAAAGCACAAACGAGGGACATTCCGAAAAATTCCTAAAACAACAGGAATTGATAAACGGAAAGAATCAGGAAGAAAAGAAAATAACATTGCAGCTTTATGATAAAGTACGAGCAAATAGGCTTATACGAGAAACATTGTTACTTTATACCAGAGTACATTGTTTCCTTAATATGGAAAAAATAGATCAACTACTATATACAATCCTGGATAAAACTGGCAAGTCAAATGCCTAAATACAAACCAGGTATCATATATATTATGGCACACCCCTTCTCTCCTTCAAAGTTGATGTGTAGGCATTTGCAGAGGAGAGTTATGAAGAGTGAACAAGGGGTGGAAAGTGTAAACTCTTAACAGCGTTTGCGCTGGAATACAAGTGTAATAACAATGACATTACATACCGATATCATTTTGCCGTTGAGCCAAACAGGCAAATTTTCTTCAGGTGGATGAGCAGAAAACAACGAGTCTAACGTTTGCAGACAATTCAGCTTGGTAACCTGAAAAACAACAAAGCAGTTTTATTGAGGATGATTCCATTACACTATCATCCTATGACCATATAAAGCATCCAACCTTGGAATGAAACAGGTATGACATTTGATAGTGTATATAACACATGACAGAGCACCTTTTAAGGATTTTTGACTGGTGGGGCAAAAGGAACGCATCCCAATCTCGTGTGTATTTTTCTAGAAAACAAAGGATACTTGAACCGTTTTGATGTAAAGGGGTAGTGGACCAAGATGTGGCAGGGAGTTTTGTTTTAAGATACCTTGACATATGAATTCCTGCCAGTCAATGAATACAGTCTAAAAGGAAATCAGCAGCTATCTAAAAAACTAGTTGTTATAGTTATATTTCAAAAGCAGAAATGAGCCCATTGTTTATATTCGAAACTCTCTATACTTAAGTTTTTGGAAGAAACCCTAGACTCGAGCAACTTTGGTACAAGCAACTCCAAAAAAAAAGGAAACTTTAGAAGAGGTGTTATCAAACTAATAATGCTTAGATTAATCTATCTAACTTTAACTTCTGTGCTTTTCAAGTTCCTGCTATTTAATTTTATTTAGTTCAGTTTTCGTTTGAAAATTATTTTGGGTTCATACGACAAATGATTTATCTGTTGACTCAAAGAATGCTAAATAAAGCTACATATAGTGACTGGGGTTAGGGACTGGAGAAGAGACAAGATTTTTTCAAAAATAGAGAAAACTACCAACCGTGTTGCTTGTTTTCATTAGATTCATGACTGCCTCGGAAAGTGCTTTCAGGTTCTGTTAAAATGAATGATGAGTGTTAGCATTTACCGCATTTACGGCATTACTCTTTCATCACATTCCCTATATATCAATGTAGTGTGGTCTGAGAAAGCTGTTTATTAACTGACTTATCATCTTAAATGAATTTAAAGTCGTTCTGTTACAGTCTCTTCCAAAGTACCATTCCAAGATGCAAATACCTTCTTTGTTAGTTTCAATAAATGAAGAAGTGGACAAAAATAAAGTTTTGACACACAAAATTCTACTACTTTGCTATTTCAAATTTGGCGAGGACAATGTAGTTTTTGGAATTTAGAAAGGAGAGCCTCTTTGATAAAAATTTGCCAAGCTTGCAATTTTTAAACATACTTTATTCAATACACTTTATACACAAAACATAACATAAAAAATGTTTGGGTAAAAATTAGGAAAGACTTTGAGATCTAATTTCAGAAATCGTGAATGAAATAAAACATATTTCCGTGATCTTTTGCATTTAGTCACAGGCAAAAGACTGGACAGGTATTCTCAAGATATTAATTATGGGTATGATAACTATCCTACAAAAATTGGCTAAATAAATACGTTTACAGCTCCAAGAATTGGTACAAACCTCGCTAGCGAGCGCTGGTAGCACAATTTTCAGCAGATTTAAAATATGTAGTGATGACGTCATTGGACCTAACAAATACGCGAAGAATTCTCAATCTGCATTGAAAAAGCTAAAGTTTACCCAACCAAATATTATGACTGGGTGCTGGATACTCAAAACTTTTTATAGCTTTAATTAAGGCGAGTAAAAGCTGCCAGGTCAAACATGAACAATCAATAAGAGTGATTTGTCAGAGAATAAGATAATCTAGTGGCAACTAGCTTTGGTCAGAAAAGGAAGACAGAGGAGAAGTGACCGAAGTTCAGTTCAGTCAACTTCATTACTGGAGACAACAAAAAACACTATCGCAAGATATGCTATTAGAATAAGTTTCTACGGAATTTCCAAGCACAAGCTGCAGAGTTAAATGAGCTTTCACGACTTAATCAACAAATTTTGAAATTATATCCAAAATGAAATTATAAAATAAATTTGTTGATGAAATTACAAGTATAGATTAAGCAATTAAACTTAAGTTGTTTATACCTAACCCAGTTTCTTGGAGGTGCTGCAAACAAAATTTAGTCACCAAAGTAGATGTGATGTGGCTCTTTTTGTTAGCAAGATTCAGCTTGACCAGTGATGCGATTTCTGTTTGAGCAGTCTTACGCACCTTGAAAGAGAAACGGTTTATGTCACAAGAAAATACGAAAGATATTCCAAAGCAGTGGTGCTTCGACATTTTCTTCATAGCCAAGCAAAATTCAATAAAACAAAATGAAATCTTTTAAAAATAGAACCAAAAGACAAGCCTTAAAAAAATTAGGACTTGACGAAACAGTCGAAATCTTTTGCGACAAAATGAAGCATTTTTCCTATAACTTTTAAAGCATGAAAATATAAACAACAACAAAAAACGGGGAAAAGAATGAAACTTTTTTGGAAAGAATGGATGAAACACTAAAATATGTTCAAATTTAAGAAATTTAATGCATTATCGTTTTCTCACAGCTCTTAAATAGTAATTATATTTTTACTGTCTATAAATCATTCTGTTACAAAAACAGGCCTTCGGTAGATCCAATACCAATATGTGTAGATACAAAATAAAAACCAATAGCAAAATCAAAAAATAGTCACTTGTTATTATAATAAGTTTATCATAGACGGAGCCATACATCATTTCATTGATCAACCGAACAGTACAAAGTTGATACTGTAAAACCATACCTTTGCTTTGGCAGATACTGTAAAACTAAGAATTGATTGAAACAGTTGACGGGTAGATTGATCTTGCCATATGCCTCCATCTTGGTTCCGAAGCAGGGTTGACAAGCAAGATATCAGCTGGTTGTGAAAAAAGACAGTTTAAAGAGTAATTAAGGCTAATATGGAGATGTAAAATACCCTATAATTTTCCTAATATGGAGCATGTAAAATATCCTATAGGTTCCCTTATATGGAGCATGTAAAATATCCTATAGGTTCCCTTATATGGAGCATGTAAAATACCCTATAAGTATCCAAATAAAATATACATAGCAATGGACTGAACCATAGATAGGTCTATTAATCGAACATTATCTTATACATATCTTTTATTCATGTGGCAATGTTTCTTTTCTCCTGAATTTAAAAATAAGAAAATCCAAAACGCCAGCATCACAAAACAACAAAGCAAAGACGAGAATTGTGGTGATAAATATTTTGTTGTTTCTGGACTCAAATTCCGGGCTTACACTCATTTTTGAAAACTTTACTACACATATTCAAGGCAATTTTTTCCTTAAGGTTTGCTTAGGGTTTCCATCCTTGCTTAGGGTTTCCATCCACAGTTAAATAACGTATTTGGGCACAAGAAACGGTGCTTTTTGAACCAGCCCCTAAACTAAAATTTTCGAAATCTCGTTTTTACGTTCTTAATGAAATGGACAGTGAGTCTTTTTCAAAAAAACAACGGCATCGATATAAAAACACAAACCGATCTAAGACAGAACGTGAAGTGGTTAAAGGCGGAATGTGAAGTGCTTAAAGTCATTAGTAATTTTGAGATGACCCTGAAGCATAAGTATGGACGGAGAGGTTTTTGAAAACGATTTTTTGCGAACGGAGATACTTAAAAAAAGAGAGAAGATATCCGCTTTAGAAACCTCCAGATGAATGTGGAAGTATGTGGCCTTATATTCTTTTGAAGAAATTATCTTTGATCAAATAAACGCACAAAAATACAACAGTAGAATTTTGAAATGGCTTTGAAGAAAGCGAGCATTTCACAACATACTAAAATCGCTTTCGTCTGACACTCCTTAGAGCATAAAGGGTCCGAAAGAACACGATGGAAACTATGCCGGTCATGTGCTTGCGTTTTTCTGATTGGCCTATTTGGATCCACAACTTGGTATACATTTTCCATTGTGTTCTTCCGGACCATTGTTCTGACGTATTATACTCTGAGGAGTGTCAGACGAAAACCGTTTTAGTATGTTGCGAAATTTTTGCTTTCTTCAAAGCCATTTTTAAATTCTGTACCACCAACAGTTGTTAACAGTAGAATTTCTGGATGAAACAAAAATTTACCAAGACGGGTTATTTTAGTTATTTTAACCTACTTTATTGATACCTGTACTAAAACTGTAAAGTTCGCAAACTAAGAAACTTCAAAAACGGCTTGATCAAAAAATAATGAACAAAACATACATTTTTCAACACTGATGTTTTCTCAGTATCAACCTGATTCCCAAGAGTTTCTACAAGAATCTTTGAGACCTCCGCAAATTTGTGCTGAATAACTGCTTGGGGAAGCCTGAAAGAAAAAACAAAAACATTTGAACCGTTTCCTTCGAAGAAAATTATAAAAAAGATTCTAACATCACTTCAGCATAAACAAGCTCGACAAGAAGAAACGATAGCCTAGAAATTTTAAAAAATTATATCCTGAATTTAAAATTCAAGTGTATGTTACCTTTTGATGACTAGATTAAGCAAAAAGATAATTGATGCAATTGATGGTTCATCTTTGGTTCCCTGAAGAGCCACCAGCTAGGAACGAGAAAAAAGGAATGAGAAACAAAAACATACAATGCAAGGTCCTCAACATTATCACAAACTGGACAATAAAGATGCTTGAGTCGCTGTCTGATCAACATATGCTTCACTCTGCTGATGCTGTTTATCCTTCTTTCATAATAAACATATTTTAGGTTGCATTACAAGGTTATATATCCGTGTCTTTTGGGAGGAAATTTCAACAATAGTGGCAAACTGTCCATAGGGTTGAGCCTTGAAAGTAACATCCTTATTTCTATGTAAAGAAAATAAGAAAAACCCTTAAATCAAAAAGAACCATATAAAGTTGCATGTTCTGTTATTGTTTTACTTTGTTTTCAAATTCCAGAAACTTTTCTAGTTTTGAGATGTATTCAAATGATTTTGTCTGATATATCATACAGCAATCTGCTTGTTCTTTTGAAATGGTCCATTTTAAGTAATTGCACTGTGTATTTGAAATTTGTCTCAAACTTATTTACATTAATAGCTAGAACATCATGTCCTTGAAGAGTTATGCTTGAAACAACATAAGAAAAGCTATTTCATATTCTTCTCAAAATAAAAATTCTCCAAGGGGCCCTTCTCAGTTGCTCTTCCATTACTTCTATCATCTTTCCTTTGGATATCTGGGTATTTTCAGTATGGATATTTCTTTATCTTACTCCCACTAAAAATTTTTTTCAAAATACACAGACAAATGTTAATGAATCTTGATGCTTATTTTGTAAAAACTGCAAAGTAACAATTTCTTTTCAGCTGATTTTAGCAAAGTAATGCAACATCGCAAGTTAAATTCCGTGTTTCACTCAGACTTACCAGTGCTGCAAAATACTCTGTTTCTGTTTCTTTACCACCATTAGCTCTAATAACCTAAATGATTAAAAGATGATTAAATGGTAAAACAGTCAAAAGCACAAAAGACAGCCTAAATCTTATCAATTTTATAAAGAGATTATAATAATAAAATCATACTACTGCCATCTATCAAATAAACATTGAAAATATTTAGAATTCAAAAATGCATCCCAGATTCAAAAAAAATCTACTGATGAGTGACACATACTTCAGTTACAGCAGCAAGAACAGCACAAATCTGCAAGCGAAAGAAAGAAAATAAGATGTTTTGATTAAAAAACTGTTTTTCATAAGCCTGGTTGTAAGGGTGGCAACAAGCAAGAAACAGTTAGAAATTATCTCATCAGAAAATTGACAAGACTAGATTTATTCTAAACTACGTGACTATCTGTTTAAGTAGAAAAAGATCAGTTAAATTATGTGTCAGTTTCATGTTTAACTTTCGATTCTAACCAGTAATTAAAAGGACACATGATTCATTGCTGTATCAGCTGCCAAATGAAGACAGAGATTTTCTTTCATAAACAACTTGTGCTAAAATTAGACAATTAAATGAGCTTGGAAACACACTCCTTTATTGCAAAAGCTCAAGTAAAGTACTGCAAACATTTCAAAAAGAACTTGAAGATTGATGAAATAAGTGGTTAACTGGATTTAACAGAAAATTACAATTTGTTATCAAGGATGTGGTTAATTGTGCAAAAACTTATTATAAAAATTTTTATTATAAAAATATTTTGGCATAAAAATATTTTGGCATAAAATGCAGTTGGTCCTTTTTTGTAATTTAAGTCACTACAATTGTCTTGTGACAGACTGGATGATCACTAAAACCATCAGCCACCAGAGAAAGTATTTGCAGTGACCTGTAGCTAAACAAATTTCAAGAAGCTCATGCCTATAGGACATAGAAAGTGGCTCTTTATTTAGGTTTGTTTATCTATGCAAAATAAAACTGTCTTAAATGGGTGTGGTTATACTGCCCCACCCTTGAGTGGGCATGGTCATATAATTATCCATTACACAAAAGCAATAAAAAACAAACTTTTACCTGTCTTAATGGATGTGATTATATTGCCCCACCCTTAAGTGGGCATAGTCATATAATTATCCATTACACAAAAGCAATAAAAAACAAACTTTTACCTGTCTTAATGGATGTGGTTATACTGCCCACCCTTAAGTGGGCGTAGTCATAAAATTATCCTTTACACAAGAACGATAAAAAACAAACTTTTGTATACCCATGCTTACTGTATACCCATACTGTGCTGATAAGCTTCAAATTTCAAATACTGTTAGTTATATGTCCAAAATACAAACCAAACATTGAAATAATCATCATCAGTGTATAAAAAGTATGATGATATTGTCTGTTCACTTTAAAAGCTTATAAATCTGGAGCAAGGAGAGACACCAAGTCAGAATTTCAAATTCTAGTACTTCAATATGTCTCAAAGCAAACTGGAAAATTTCAGGGTGGAGCTACCTGTCAAATATCATGAAATCACAAAACGAAATTAGACACCAAAATGTCTTTTTAAAATCTTTCAGTTTTTCAAAACATCCTCTGTTTAATACTTTTGAGGTATTAAAATAAGTTATGCAGACTTTTTCTGCATATGCAAATTCAAAGTGGCAGGTGCTAGGAAAATTGAATACTGACATCTCAGAAAAAGTAATAATCTGAAATTTTCAAAATGTTCTATTGTTATTAGTCAGTACATGATATCTGGAAATAAGAAAAATCTGAGATAGTGGGTGACATTTTCTTTTTTTCTTGATGATTTGACATGGAAAGACCCTTGATTATAACTGATAAATATTTACTACTGCATATATACCTGTTTGTGCTCCTCTGATGGTGAATACCATAGCTTGTGAACTTTTTCAAATGTTAAATTAGAGCAGTCAGTCAAACCACTAATTGAAAACTTAGATGATGAAGCTTTAGAGCTTGGCATCCCTTTGTCACTCATAATTTCATCTTCAACTGAAAGCTCATCTTGATGCCTTGACAGTGCAGCAGCAGTCAATCCTAAAGTTTGAAAGAAACTCATAAAAACAGGCAAATTATTTGCTCCAATATAAATATGTGGTCAAAAGCTGTGGAAAATAAAACATAAAAATGCAACAAGGATAGCTTGCCATGAAACTTTGAAAAAATGATTTAATACCAACTCCAAGTAATTACACTGAAGATGCTACACAAATGTGGTCTGTGTGATGCTGTAACTTCTGCTGACATCATTTTGATATTATGCTACACCCAACATTAGTTAGCTAGCCTAATGTATCCAGCGGAGATTGTTTGGAATTTTTTTTCAACCATATTGAACATAGTTTGTGAGAAGTGGGTTTGGTCTTCAATGTAGGTTGTGCTTTGGTCAAAGATGTCAATCAAGGTATGATGTGTGCTTCTGTTGGAGAGCCACACTCTGAGGCCTTTAGGTTTGCCATTTTGTGGACTTTCAGTACTAATAGAATACTGGTGTCATAAAAGAGTTATTGCCATCAATGTGGTAATTTGGCAAAATGTGTTAGGAATGCCATAATATCAAGGGTATTCTGATTTTATATCATTTGTTTGGTATTTGGACCATTTTCCAAAATGTGTCAATGAGTTATCTAACGTTTAATGGGACGTGAACTAGGCTATTTGCATGAACAGAGCCGCCCTAAATATGAATTGCAGGTTTCAGTTGTGATCAGGGCAAATAAAGTTTTTTCCATCAGTTTTCGCATTTTACAAAATACCACCTCAAAACTTGTATTTTGCAAAATTTCCCATTTTCACATGATGCAAAAATTTTCGCAAAATACAATAAGCCCACTAAACTGTATTATGACTTCTTTTTCATGTTTATCAGGCCTGTCGGAGCCGGGGGCCTGGGGGGGCTGAAGCCCCTCCCTCAATAATTGTCTACCTGTAGTATGTTTCCTATATAACAGTGTACTGAATGAGAAGGAAATACAATGGGCAGCCTCTCCCCCCCCCCCCCCCCCAATATGAATTTCGTTCTGACGGCACTGTTTATGTAAGATAGATTTTAAAACTGCTAGATGGATAACGATCAGGCTCTAACAACAATCAATTTATTACTTGTTTATTGATTATTAGTAGAGCCCAATCATCGTTCCATCTAGCAGTTTGCCAATCTATCTACAAAAACATGAAAAAGCTATAGTAAACAGAAGGAGCTCGTTTTCACCTAAGGATTCCAATTGGTAATATCATATTTTCCTAAGGTTTGTTCTGTTATTTTCGTTGCCAAACTGGATCTCATGTTCTAAGCGGAATAAAGAGATAAATAATCAATAAACGGGTGTTTTTACAAAATGCCTAGTTACTTACCTGACCTATTTTTCTTGGATACATTTGCTGTTTGAAAAGGAGTTATTGTCTGCTTGGTAACTTCATCTCTAAACTTCCGCTGTGTAGGATTACTAGCGCACGATTCTCCTTTTCTCCATTTCTTTGCACTTTTCGTAGCTTTAAAACTACGTTTTCCCATTTTGTGTCAAACTCAAGCAGTCAGAATAATACTTTTTCGTCACCTGATATCAAACTGCTTACCAACCAACACGTGCGACCATCTTAGAATCTAATTTTTTTATGAGGCTAGCCTCGTTACAATATTCTACAAGTGGATGCCATTTTGCCTGCAAAGTTCATGTTTTTCTTATTTGCGGTTTACTAACTGCTGGTTTTCAATGGCAGTCCCGATCAGATTTTCAGTTGTCCAGAGAAAATGTCCTTTTATAGCTGGTTAGTATTTACAATCTTTTTTAAGGATCCTTTGGAGTTCTAGCGCCTAAAAATCAATGCTTTAGGTTTATGGCAAATTATATAGGCCTAAATGATAACTGGTTGATTTTGTATCAGTGAATCAATGTGTGCTTTGTGCGTTCATAAAACAATTTCATAGTGACTTCGATACATCTAAGTAAGTGAAATTACAATAATTTTGCATGTGAGCTTTAATCTTCAAAAATACATTTGATGATGTTCTTTTTTCTCCTAGGAATCTGTAAAAATTCAATGACAATTTCTAGAGCAATAGCATTTCAGCCACGTCTGTGTTCACAGAAGTTTAGCAGCTATGGAAAATGCAACAGATTTCTTTCAAACTCTCCTGTACTGACACAAAATAGTATCAATTGCAAGACAAATTTAGTGCTTACAAATGTTTATCAAAGACATCAAGTAAACAACTTGGCTAAGCCAATTATGTTTACTAGAAACGTAAATTTCTTTAGTAAGAAAAATAAAAAGAAGACTGTGAAATCTGTAACAAAACGTTTCAAAAGGATGGGTTCAGGAGCCTTGAAAAGATGGAGGGCAGGCAAGAACCACAACATGAGGAAAAAGTCTCATAATCAGAAAAGACGTTTGAGAAAGCCAGTTATTGTGAAAGGAAGTAAGCTTAGAAAACTAAACCGAATGATAAGTGGCTGGTGAATACTTCAACTGGTGTGGTCCCGTATTCGATTTGCATAGGTTTTTAGCCTTAAAAACTTATTATGTTATAAGATATCGTTGGCTGCAGTGAATACCCATAGCTATTTGAATTTGTTTTGATATTATTTGTATCAAGAGGAAGTAATGTTCTATATTTGTTTGATTTTTACTGTTGCCTGTCTCTATTAATTAGCCAGTTTTCAGGAAGACTCTTTAAAGGGGCAAAATTGCCTTAAAAGGAGTTGTTGCATTAGGTTAAGTCATAAATCTTGTTAGGCTTCTGCAGAAAATTTAGAAGATATTCTTTAATTTTGCTCAATCTTGGGATATTGAATGATATTATATGACGTCGAAAAGTAAATTTAAAACTTCATTTGAACATTTTAGCAATAGTTCTAAGTGTATAGTCAAGCTAAAAGGTAAACTGTGAATGGCAAGGAATCTATTATTTGTTGTTTATTTTCAACAAACCATGCTGTTCAGTGTGAGGCATAGCCCCACCAATGAGGGTACTTTTCTCCAAAATGAAATTTCGATTCTCATAAGAAACAGCATCAGCTTCACATTTGAAACAAAACTCTCTCCTTAAGAAAACAGTCTTCTCTGTCCTTCAGATTAAAAACAACCACCTAAAATATGATTCTGTCATTGGGCAGCAATTACTAGAAAACTCAGATTGTGTCTCAATCACCATTTTCCAATTATTTCACATTTGGCAAATTTAAAAGTGTAAATATCTTGTCTCTTATGATCAATTATTATTGATGAAATAAGACTTTAATATCTAAAGCTTGGCAGGAAACTGTCAGTTATTATCAGGACAAAAGAAAAACAGATACGAGAATTTATGTGTGTTTGATTCTTCCTTGCTCAAGCTTGAACTTGTTCAAAAATGGAATTACTACCATCAGGTATTTTGAATTACAAGGATTTTTTTTGTTAATAAAATAAACTGTAGTCCCATTAAACTGCAGAACATTCAGAATTTTCAGCTTCCAAAGAAAGGCAAAAGAGTTCACTCATCTTTACAATCTGAATTCACCAGATAAAAAGCATCCCAAGTATTTAATTAGGTTCAAAGGGAAAAATACAATATCACTGAAAGTTTTCAGTTATGCTGCAGTCAATCATCACAAATTGCCTGTAAGCAAACCCATATACATATACATGCCATATACGTGAAACAAATTTACCCTTAGTCAATAAGCAGGCTCTTTGTGATTGAAGCGATTAGAGATGATAAAATAAAAGAAACTTAGGTTATACTGTAAAAACCAACAGTGATGAACAGTTTGTGAAGTAATAAACCACATTACACTCATTTGTACTGAACTGGAAATTCTAAAAAGAATGTTGAATCTTTTACATATACTTGTCAAGTAACAGCAAATATTGACATCCTAACTGCTAGATATGAGCCCTTAAGTTCAAAGTAAAATTACATACTCCAATAACTTTGATAATGTTCTATCAATGATTCTGGCTGAACAGAGTATAAACAAATATTGTCATTTCATATTTACAAAAACTCAATATTACTGCAGATCAGATGTTTTTTGGTCTTGCTTTCAAAGAACTTTTCTCTTATTCTAGAAAGCAGAAACTTGACTTGTCTAACTAATCAAGTTTTATGTAACATTCTGGCTGACTTTATCTTTGATATCTGAGTTTGATAAGATATCTCTGTTGTCTTCATGGTGCTGATGCATTAAATCCTGTTCATCCTCAAATAAAGGATCTCCTGGTTTTCCAATAAATCGGCCACCATTACTACGCACACGTCTACAGGCATGCTGATGCGAGATTCGTGTAGATATTTCTGCAATAAATGAAATTTACTACTTTGCATAAATATTATCAAAAAGAAATTTACTGCCTTCCTTTGTTGCTAACAAAACTGGATATAATGATGCCACTATTCCAGTCTTATTGTCATAATCCTGCTGATTTTTATTTTATAAAAGGAATAATGAGAACTACACCAAGGTAAATCAATAATGTTGAGTATATTTTCATCAGGAATAACACCTTACGTTTGGTTGAAAAAAGAACTAAAAATAAATAAAGTTGAAATGGCCAAATATTAGAAAAAGTGTGAAAATGATGGTCTAAAGTTATAACAGCTTAAACTCAATTTTGTTGTGAAAAATTGTCTCTATTACCTATTTTAGCTCCTATCATCTCCCTTGAAGTATCACAACAGGAAGCATGCTAGGTGGTTAATGCCAAAATGCTTTGAAACCATTTTAAAATGACATTGTAAACATTGAAGAATAGTTTACCTTTCGCTGCTTCGGTATTTTTCCTTCAGCCTCAAGTTTCGCCCTAGCTTGCCTTCTTTTGATTATTCTGTGATATTGCTTCGCATTTACATAGAGAGGCTCATCAAAAGTTTCCATTGCCACTGGCAATCTTTGTGCTAACACCTGTTGACCATTCATCTAGGAAAACAAAGACACCCTAATACTATGCACTTCTAGGTAATGTTGAAGCTTTTCAAATAAAATTGTAAAAAAAAGAGAAAAAATGGGGTGTGCATTGAACTTTTTAGGAAAGACTTTCATCGTGGTGGGACACAATAAAAAACCCAACCTTTAAAAAAATACATCCAATGAAAATAATGTAAAACATTTGCCATTTTTGATTGTGTTGTGTTCAGAAGTTGTCTCTTCTGGGATCATCTATAAGCAGGGCTTGAAAGTTTTTTCTTCCTGGCAGCCAAACAAAAAATTCAAGATTTCCTGTGAAGTTTCGACAAAGTTTCCAGCCACTCTAAGTGATATTTTAAGTTGATTGACTTGTTTAAACATTTGCCCTAAAAATAAACTGTCATACTAAAAAATAACTTATTGTTGGTCCTTGATTGTTGATCATATACAATCACTTTGTATATACTGTATTAGATGGTCAAGGTTTGTTCATGGTTTGCTTTCAAAGATTTAGTTAGAAAATCTGAAATTTCTAATAACTTTGATCAAATTTCATAGTACTAGCAAACTAGATACTATTGAAGTTTTGATGTAACTTCTGGGTCTCATGTTCGCTGCTCATTTTTATCATCATTTTTATCAAGCTAGAAGTTCATACAGCATTTAAGAATACTTTTTATTTTTCAATGGTTGAAATTAATGTTTTAAATCAGGGTTGGTGCTAGAGGCGGAGATGTAAATCAAAATGCTTACATTCTATTAAGCTAGCTATGAAAAATTTATTTGTATGCCAGTAGAAAGTATGAATAATAATGGAGACATCCACACAGTTTTGGGGGATGTTCACCTTCAGGTATGTTTACATGTTCACATTGCGGCATGTTCACAACTGATGTAACAAAATTTGCTGTCTTTAAGTGTCTTTACTTATCTAGAACGGCTAATGTAAAAAGAGAAATGAATTTTGTTTTAGCTTGCTTGTATTAAGTTAGTAGGTGAAAATCATCCTCGAATTGCCGGAAATTTGATATAACAGACGCTGATAATACCAGGCAATTATATTTGAAAGCTAATCTTCGTTTTTTTGCTTGTAGTGTACAACAAAAATTAAACAGTCTGGGCGACACGGACATATATCACAAGAAAACAGCATTCCGTAGAAAGAGAGCAACATAGATTCAATGATCATATTAAAATCAAGCAATGGAGATTTTATGCTAAAAATTCCTTGGAAACAGCAACATTTTCAAAACTTTACTCAACTTTTTATCTTCAATTTTTTACGAAAACAATTTTGTAGATAACAAAAATCTATGAAAAAAAATCATCCTAGACAAAACCGCAAGGGCATTTCAAAATTGATAGACGAATGTTCTTACCATAATGGCCTGTGTTGTTGGAACTGCAGTAGCATTAGCTAGTTCTACTTGATTCGATGAGGCCGCGGCAGCAATCAGCCTTTGTTGATCCGCTCCAAACATCTGCAATGCCGCGTGTTGTTGAGTGGGGTCGACAATATAAACACCTTTTGATGGATCCTGGGCAATTATACTAACTGCCTGCGTGCCTGTAGATGGCACAGAGAAGTGCTGTTGTACATTTCCACTCGAAATTTCTCCAGCATTCTGAGAGGCAACTGAACCACTGCCGTTCTCCATCTTGTTTAGGCAAAGTTATCAAATCGAGACAAAAGGTGCAAATGAAACCCGAATGCGAGGCTTATTTTTTTTATATTTTTGGATGGGGGCTTATTCGAGGAGGGGGGCTTATACATTCGAGGAGGGGGGCTTATGAAGTTATTGTAGACATTAAGAAGACATTATTAAAAGACCTCGTCTATTTAGTAGGAATCCTTTATGAGCATGTAATTAATTACTACCAAAAGTATGAATTTGTTGTGGTAATTCAATAAAACGCCATAGGCAACCTCAGATAGCAAAAATCATCAAATGGAGGGGTCCAATTCGAGAATTTACGGTAGCAGTGGGAGCTTATTCGATAATACCCATTATACTAACAGATAATACCCACTTAACCAATAAGAACTCATTCTTCGTTCCTTTAAAGACAGTCTCATTATCATGTCAGTCTCATTATCAAAGAATATCATCACGAACTTTACTTTACCTTACCTTCTGTTTAATAGATTCTACGCTCAATTTCTTAATGAAAAATAACTACATAGGACATTTTTTAGGGAAACCAACGAAAGACAAGTCTTCAGAATCTTTTTTAAAAAGTTTTGCTGCCATGTAGATGCTACAGTAGTACAGTTTCAAAAGTTGTATTTCAACAAGTCGCGTCACTTTTACTTGATCTCAACCAGCAATTTTTTACTGTTATCTCTTTACTTTAATCCTTAATTAACTGTTTGTGCTTTGGCTTCTTTAATTTTCAAAAAAAGTTTCAAAACGTTTCTAAAGTGCTTTGTCCATTTTGAAGCGACTGTAAATATTAATGGAGAGAATTTGCAACCTTGTGTTACTCCATGTTGATTTTGCTTTTCAGCCTGTCTGATCTCTATGTCCTTGCGGTATTAATTATGACTAAGATATCAATATAGCCTTTGTTGCAATATGCATCTTAAAAGAAATTGTCTCAAATCAATTCGAAAAACCAAGATATTAGTTTATTTATCTTGGTTGAAATAGAAACTAAAATATCAAGACGGTTTAAGCTACACAGACAGCTTCTGTTGTCTGTATTTGCAACATGGATTAAACAGCAATCGAAAATTTGGTCTCAGCTCGACTAATTACGACAGGTTGAGTTTAACAAATCTTCCGAAACAAGTTTATAGAAGATCTGTACACAGTATGAATAAGGCGATTGTAGATTTGCCTCAAATGTCACAGAATTTTGAAGTAAGCTGTTAATTATTAATAACATTTTCATCCTTTGTGAATATGTTTCTCTTTTGACTCACTGATTTTGAGGAAAGATTTCAGACAAATAATTTAAACTGTTGCAGAGCAAAATCATTAAGAAATTAACTCTTCAAAACTGACTAGATTTTAAAAAATCGTCCAGTGAAGACACAGTAACGCCGCGACAAGCAAGTCAGCAATGCTTCGCGGGTGGCCTAACATCCGCAAGAGCTGCAAACAAAGGGAACGTAAGCTTCAGCAAAAGGAGACAGCGCCAAGTCTACATCTGGATGCAATCAAGCTAAATTTACAAAGTAACTCTTCAAGATGCAGGAAAAAGGAGTTCTGTCCGGAGAAAAATTCTACAGAAAATGTCAACTTGGATTCAGTCGACATTCGGAGCAAGTCCGACTTCGAAGTATTGCAGTATGGAAAAATGACAGATGGAATTGAGGATTCCATGTTGATAACAGGACGCAACGGTACAAGCTCTGCTGGATTCACAAGATTTTTCAATGTTGCTGAGGTTCCAAGGCTCAATAAAACACGGCAAAGAGGTCCATTTGGAACAGAAAAAAGATGCTTTTTGAATATAGGATTCACACAGGCCGAGGTCTTTGATAGATTACAAGTGCCAGGAAAAATACGGCCTCGGAAAATTTACCGTGGAGGTGGATATTATTCTGCATTGGCTATTTACGATCGTTCTGCTAATATCCACATTGTCAATGTCGGAGGGACGAAATTTGAAATGGATGCAGATCTTCACAAGCGGGACAAGCCATTGGATGTAAACAACGAGCTTAGTTTCCCTAGAGTGCAGAGCAATAGCAGAATAAACGGTATTTCAAGTATGCCAGAAGAACTCGAGTGCAAGAAGATCAGCGATAAAAACATTCGGGCAATGTCTTCAAATACAGTATCTAAATGTCGAGTTTGTGAACGCGCGAGGAACAAGCCCCATAGTTCAGTAGGCCCTAAACAGATTAAACTTTATCTAACTATAGATATATGACCATGCTAAGTAAGATCATAAAGACGAAGGGTCACATCTTTATTATAAGAATCCTTAGACAATACTCTTTCCACGCTCCATATTAAGCATTACAAAACCATATGTTTTATGGCAAACGTTTCCTTTCTATTGTAATATGCTTGTCATTCAAACCAATAATTATACTTCCAAACATTACCCTTTCATAAGCATTTATTCAAGCAGCTCGGTTATTCGATTGTATCTAGGCCGGATCTTTCCTTGAAGTACCATTGCTATAAAATACATTTATTGCAGCAGATAATGAAAATTTCTGCTTTGCTGGTCTGTCATGTAGTGCTCGATTCCCTATAGACAGTGTTGTAAACGCCAACAGTAGAGATAAAAAGATAGCAAACACTGTTATTCTTATCAAACTCTAGTTCTTTTAAGTTGTGCAGTGAATTTTGCCATTTTGGCTGAGATAAGGAATTATCTATTAAGAGTTATCGTTTAAGACAACATTGACTAAGACTAAACGTGAATAAGAGTAAAATCCATGAATGATATTCAAGTTTTCTTATAAACATTTGTGTTCTGTTTGTTCTGTTTATCAAACCATTAAGAGTTGTGGCAAATGATTTGTCTTCATGAAAGGTAAAGGCGTTATAGCTATATTCGATAATTCAGTAGGCCACTCTTGTAATTAGGTTACCTCACTACTATTGGTAGAATAATCAAGAATATGGTTGGCTGATAATATTCTTAACATTTGGAAAAGGTAGAGCAACAACGTCTAGTGTCGATGTTCATGAATTCGAGTCCTGCCCTGGCTGTTTCACCAACTCAAGTTCCCTCTTAGGGAGCCTCTTGGCATATCTACATACAGTTTGTAATGTAATGACTGCACAATTTTTACTAGCTTTTAGTGCTAATAAAATATCAAGGAGGCTCTTGCAAATGTTTCAAATAATAAAAGCAAAGTATATAGATAAGTAAACTTTTTTCATCAAAAACGACGCTGTGCCCCCGAATCTTGTTTTTAAGCATTAGACCCCTGTGCTAAATCTAGACTTTGCATGCAAAGACGGTATATAAAACATGGATGAGCCTTTCTCGATCACATGTTCAATGGTTTTACATTCGAGGAGATATTTTTCCATCAGTTTGTTACTATAAATGCTTCGATTGTGTTAAGGATTCATAATTAAATCATGGCTTAGTAATTTTTTTGACAATCAAGTGGTTTTAGCTGACCGAGACCAGGCCTAGATCTCGTGGACAATTGCATTGATCGATTATCCTTTACAAAATCTCAAGTAAGGAAGAAAATCCAGTCTGATCTTTTGCATCTTACACAAAAACCTAAGCTGTGACTTTAAATCACAGGACATAAACCATGACATAAACAGAGAGAGCGAAATAATGGAATCTGGAACGCGTGGTTGTCCTCGGGTAGATTTTCCATATCCTCGGCCGAAGTTTTCTACAACAGGACCACAAGATTAGGTTCATAAAACTTTAGAAAGACATACCGGCTGTTAAAGTTAATGTAGGAAGAGATGTCAGCATGCAACCTTCTTGTTCAAAGACATTTTTACAGTAATATAGACGGTTGGATCGTAGAGTTTATATTTTGGGCGTCAACTGATCAGTTTTTCCTAACCCTGCACTTGTTTGGAGAGTCTAAGAGATTTTCGCACCAAATAAAAGAAGTAATAACCCTGCTATTATTGAAACACTCATTAAGAACCTTTGAATCTAAAAACACCCTTCTTCAATTCATTGCAAAGAAAGGGGTAAAATTACTTAAAAAGAAGGCTTATCGTTTAAAACGAGTACATTCTAGAGCCGCCTTCTTACATAAGAATGCAATCAGTGAAGAATGGCTTTCTAATATAAAAAAGCAGAGTAAGTTTCACTTGGCTTATGCTATATGTGGCCAACAGAAATATCCTAGGGCAATGGAATAGCTGAAGCAAGGGAGTTAAGGGGCTGTCTCAAATAATCTGCAAAGTATACTTAAGGCCATAGAAGGAAAACTCTTTAGCTCCCCAAGTCGGAATGTGCTCTTCGTTCCCTATAGGTAGGTAATACCTCTACGGCTCAGGAATATTTGTGGACATAGAATAATACATTGTCTAGTGATAGCAGTGCAATGTGCCTTTTAAGATCTCTTTCTCCTACCAAAGGGAGGTCTATGTAAAGACCAAGGTTGAAAATTTCAGCAAATGAAAAACCTAATGTCGATGTTATGAGTGGGACGCAGTCATTGGCTACATTGTCTGAAAGGCGATAGAGGTGACGTCATGAAAGAACAATGTCAGATTTTTTGGATTAGGACCGCATAAATCTGAAACAAGACGTCAGGATACTTCTAAATGTGCAAACCCAGTTTAATCCGCTGTAAATTGATCGAAATATGACTCGATATGACTATTGAATAACCATTTTATTTAAAGGTGTTTATAAATGGACGACGGCTGTTTTGCCTGCTTCATAAACATTTGAATCGAGGCCAAATTGTCATGATTTGTGTAATATTTTAGTCGTAAGGTTAACTCAATAAAGTAATTCATGTTCTTCAAACATAACCGAACATAATCTTCCTACTACAATTCTTGACTCTAAACCTATTGTATACCAACATATTGTATACACAGAACATAGGTATACCAAATTATTAAAAAAGTGTGTGTCTGTGTACTATAATTTGGTAGGGAAATTGTCAATGTCTTTGCAGCTACACACTTTTTTTATAAGGATAAAGTCTAAATAAATATTGAGGCTCAAAATTGCTAAAAGTTAAGAATAATTTAAGAATGATGCCAGGCTCAACCTTCATCAAGACAGGATTGAAATAATGCTTTTGGAATAGGATCGTATTTGTATCATTAGATTTTGCATTTTAATATCACATTTGTTGTTCTGTTTTTTCTTGTTGAAATTTATGATGAAGCAACACATTGCAAATTTATGATGAAGAAATTGATGTTGAAATTTAGGAATTTACACCTTGTGTTTGGCACGTATAATTTAAAAATGATGCTTAGGCTCATAATCGAAAATTTTTAAGAATATTGAGGCTCGGCAAAAAATAGGTATTCTTATAAAAAATGTGAATATCTTAGCTTAAATCATATTTAAATACCATCAACGTTTTTGACCAGTGTGACTTTTTATGGTGCTTTTTTGAGAAAATATTCCAAAGTCAAAATTTCTAAAAGTATATTTCGTGAAGTCATCACTTTGACCTATTTAAAACCAGTCAAATATTTTCATTTTTCATATCAGTGCTATTTTTCAGTCATGTCAAAAAGATACTGTAAAAAGATATATTGTATGTTAGCATTTCCTAATTTTTTCTAGTTCTAGTTTCGACTCTTAGAATCAAAAGATCTCAACGCACTAACAATATGGGTGAAGCCCTAAGCCTCCTTCAAGTTCGACAATCGAAATGATCTGTTCCACTATCACTATTGTTATTCCATAGATTACACGCTTGAAAAAACAAAATAGAAGTCTTATTCGAGGTGTTCCATGTTTTAGCGACAAAAATTCACCAAGAGGTCAGTTAGTAACGCAACAATCAAAACATAGACAGTGATTTTTGTGTAGAATTCTTGGGAAGCGAGCAAAATGTCTCCACTGATTCTGCATTGCATCTTCACGATTGCTGTTTTAGCAGGTGTGCAAACTGAGGGCTGGATGGCAGATAAAAAGGGTTACAAATACCAACCAAACACCAAAACATACTTCCAAGGACCTGATGTCCTAAACAGCAAGTACCACAAACCATCAAACTCAAGAACAGTTGTTTTGTTCTCAAGGACAGGGAAATTCCTTGAAATTTCTGAGAAAGGAAGAGTAAAAGGGGCAATAAATCCGAACTCGAAAGGGAGTGAGTAAATTATTATAGAAAGTGTTTGGAAATATTTCAGTCTATTCTTTAAAAATTTTTTTTAGACATTGTATTCAATAGTATATTGATTAAGATTCTTTGCACTTAAAGGTACAACATTTCATTATTTCATATAAAATACAATTCATACCTGGTATAACAATTTATTAATATATTTTTGCACATTACTTTCGAAAGATATAATTCAACATCTTTTCACTGTAATGCAATATCTTTCGATCAAGCAACTTCAGTCTTTCAATCATAATCAGAATAAAACACAGCCTTTGGCATCAAATGGGATAATATTTCTAGCTTGGGCATGTTAAAACTAGTTCTTTTACATTAAAAACTATTATTAGTTTCTCTCTTTGACAATTTATCTAACGTCTGATACTCTTGAAAACCTGAAAAATAAGCCAAAATTTAATGACCACAGTAATAAACGATAGATAAAATGGTAGGGTCATTGCATTATTTTTCAAAGATTTTTAATTAAACATTATGTTTTACCGGTCTGTAATAAAGTGTTATATGTCGTGTAGATAGAGATGTAAACATATTGGTGCAGAGAATATGACGGTCCTATTTGCAACTTAGAAACGTCCAGTTCTATATACCAAAAGTGTATTCATTATTGGTATGGTTATTCATTTATGCAAATTCAGTGCGTACTTTCAAAGTTTTAGATATAAATCATTTATAATTCTTTCTATTTTCAGTTTTTCTAGAGTTGCAAACGTTCGGGATTTCCTATCGCAGAATCAAGAGGTCAGATTCTCAGCTTTTTGTTGCAATCAACAAATACGGAAAGGCGTATACACAGGTAAGAACGAGTCTTCACATCATTGCTAAAATTAAACGTCATTTGCTGGGTAGACCAACAAGCTTAAGTCATCGGGCATGCCTCAAAAGACTGTGTTCAATGCGCATACTTTTTGACCCCAAGATAAGGGGGTTGCCTCACTTATTAAGGTATTTCTATTGTACGACCCTAGGACAACTTCTTTGTACAAGAAAGAACTGCAACCAAGGTTAGATTCCCGTAGCCAGGGGGTGGGCATGATCACTAGTTCTTCAGACAAAAAGGAAAACAACTTAATTTTACCATGTATTTACATCAACACTCAAACACTATCTAGGAAAAAATGCATCAAAGTGCTTCTTTCCTCGCGTAACGATTCCCTAAAAGGAAACCTAACTACGGGCCTAAAAATGGGCTGCCATTTTAGGGAACACGTTGGTAATTTGAAGTTTTTGTCTTTAAGACATTTATAAGAGAAAATTTGCTTTGGTGCCAAGATTTGTCTCTTGCTTGTGGTTGTCTTCTGTTTGAAGGTGTCCGTTATTACGAGGTGTCTGATTCCTGATTTGTCATCCTACTTCATTACTCGTTTTATTCTAATATCTCATTGGAAAGAACGATGTAGGGCCAGCATTCCATTACTGACATTCTGCAGCATGTCGAGATCCTAGAATTCATACAACCTAAGGTTATTATACTATTCATATAGCATAAGGGACAGTCCGATAAAAGGCATCCGAAAAATGGAATTTCAGTTTCGAAATCACAGCACAAAAATATATCACAAAGAAATCAAGAGTCATTTAGACACACCCAAAATATTTTCCTATGGGAACCAAATACACCTCACCTTTATAGAATTTACAGAATTTCAAAGGCGAAGATTAAATCAAGTACTGTTCCTTTAAAAGCTACGCCATGACACCTTGGCAACTGTTTGTTTCCATATGTGTCTCTTCTTACTCATTGTCAAGTGTAGGTCATTTTACTCAATGTCAAGTGTTTCCATGATGCTAATATAAGCTAGGAAACAATTGAAACCATTCATTATTCAAGGAAATTTGGTTTTTCCAAGAGATTTAAGAGCATCCGTGCTTTCCCGTTTTTAGAAAATCTACAAAAGTGGTCATTACAATCCCAAAATTAGGTGATTTTGATAACAGCGGTCAGTATAATTGGGAAACAGTATTGCCCAAAAGGTGTAGTTATCATAATTTGTAGGCGTTGCCTGTCTAAAGCTTCTACCATAGAGAGAAATTCGTAGACTTCATTGACGATTTCGAGCTAAGATGTCAGCCTTTCCGCTGCAGCAGCACAAAAACGTGCTGTTATTCGGATTACCAGCGCATGTGCTGTCGAGGTGTGCTAACATCCTGGGTAGTTGGGTGTGTGAGTCGAATGAGCCCCGTTCCAGCTACCAAAAGCAAACAAACCAACGATATTCTTGATGAAATCAAGGGTATTATTTCCATAATTTACCCTTAGCTTCAATTTGGCATGGGTTTTTAATTTTGATGTGGGCTTTTCATTTTGATGTGGGCGTTTAATTTTGATGTAGCCGTTGAATTTTGATGTACGCTTTTAATATTGATAGGGGTTTTTAATTGTGATGTGGGCGTTTAATTGTGATGTGGGCGTTTAATTTTGATGTGAGCGTTTGATAGGTCATTTACTGTGTTTGGAACAGTTGTGAATACTTCTAGACATAAAGACAAAAGAATACTTCAAACTTTCGGGGATCATCCGAAGCGATCCAATGTAGAACAGAGAACACACTGTATTGAATCGTTTTATGAATTTCCAATGTTGCCAAACTTACAGGAAACTTTAGATCCGCCAGTTCTTATAAATCGAGTAACTTCGAGTAAATATGGACAGCCTGTAAAAGGGTAACAAAATCCAAAGACTTGATTTATCCAAATAGATAATCAAAACTGATATGATTGCATGGTGTTTTATTCCAACATTATATATCTGTTTTAGAGAACCTCCCACCCAGATATTGAGACACTCTTTCAAGAAATTATTGATGGAGCCAGTATCATATTCAAGAATGTGAAATATGGATGGCTTTTGTCGCTGAAGAAAAACGGCAAAGTGAAGAAGGCTGTCAAACCAGTGAAACAAAATGGAAGGTTTCCAAGATACACAAAGTTTCTTACAATATTTCCAGAGAAAATTCCGTTGGGGGTGGAGAACGAGACAAAGCGTCCATGAACCTTTGAAATTATAAAGCAAGTTATTGAATCATATTATAGCCGACGATACATATCTCTTTCAGAAATTCTGCCAATTGACACTGAGAAAGACAATTGTGGATTTTTACTGGAGATGATTCTTTGGTGACTAACTTTAAACAGTAGTATTAGAAGCAGTCTCCCTTGAAAGTAAAGCTCCTTGTTAAAGATTTCAACATGGCTGATAAGCTTTCACAAGTTTTGTAATGATTTTATGAGTATTGGCGATTCTGATCCGGTACGTGCCAAACGGGGTAGTGAATGGCCTCAGCAGTAAAATTTATTGTCAATGAAACTGTACTCTTGTTCAATTAACGACCTTGTTTCGGAATCACTCCCATTCTTTTTACGACTTTCTTAAGCCTATACTATGATTTACCCATAGAGAAAGGATCCTATCTCTATGGATTTACCATACCAAGATAGCTGACTGGGTAAAGTGGAATGCTCATAGTGTTTTGCTTCGATTTTATGACGATATACACACTTTTTTATAGAATACCTAACTTTCTGCCGAGCGTCAATATTCTTAACTTTTTTTTCATTGTGAGCCAAAGATTATTCTTAAATTATTCTTAAGCGAAACACGGTGTAAATTCACCTGAAGATCAGAGAAAAAATAGAATAAGGTAATCTGGCAGGATCTGGATAAAATAATATAGGCCACCCTCATTTAGAAGCCGCCCTCGTTTATAGGCCGCCCTTGAATATAAACCGCAGTAAAACGTGGCAAAGGTAATCTTGAGCCGAATAAATACGGTGAGCATTAACAGTTGGCTAATAAAACAAAAACGTTTAGAATGGAATTCCATTGTTTCGTTAGAAATTCACCCTCGATTCCATGCTTTGTAGAAAACAAAAAAGATAATTGTATTGCATTAGATAATCATGTTCACGACACATGCACTTTAATTCTTGACGAAGCTTGAGCCTTGCATTGTCTTGAATTATTCCGAAATTTCAGCAATTTTTGAGCTCAATATTCTATAGACTATATTCTAGTAATAGAAATGTGTAAGGTTTAAAAACTTCTAAGGGGCAGAGTCAGGAAAACATTACGGTCGCACGGCCACTGACCGGAGGAAGGTCCACGAAAAACAATAGAAGCTCCTATGACACACCCAAGCCACACCGACTTTCTATTGTTTTGTGAGGAAGGTTTGCCTTCTGGGATGTTTTTGTCTGGAGGAAGGTTAGCAACTTTTCTGGACTCTGCTAAGGGGCTGGACAGCAAAAATTTGTCAGGGCGAAACTTGTCACAAGCATTCGCTAATCGCGCTAATCACTCTGATTATAGCAAGCTTGTGTTCCTAAAAGCGTGAGATTTATCGTTCTGACTATCAGTTATATTGTTACTATTGTCCTTTCTATTGGGCGGGACAGATATTTGATCTATCGTTGTATTCATCCTAAAATATCATTACAAAAGCACATCGTTAGAGACTAAAAGGCAGTCGACAGGTTACTAAAATTGCTGACAGATCTCGTACTTCTAATGATTGGTCAGTAGTTGATTGGTAAAGGGCTCAAGCCACTCATGTATTTGCCAATTGTCTTTAACGCACTTTAAATTACCTAAAACAAAGATTTAAATTGATGAAAAAGCCAATATCTCTAAAGGGACAGGAATATCACCTTTTGCAATTCTAAATTTATTGCGTTTTTTCACTGCAATTGCACAAAGCATTTTACTTTACTGACTGAATACCCCCTTTGATAAAGCATAGTGCCATTGTAAGAAACTTGAAAGCACATTTAGAACTAATTTGATCTTCATAATAGGAGCGTCGTACTCTAGGCGTAAACATTGCTTTTGCAACGCTGTACATTGATTGTTTGACTTCAAATAGCTTTATCGTTCGTTATGGCGTGGCGGCTCGAGATTCCTAAGAGAACCATCCTTTTCTTTGCAATTACTGCCAGTTTACCAAGCAGCTCTCCCAGCCTCTGTCAAGTGGCTCATCCTCAAACTGCAGCTTGCAATGCTGACTACGGTAAGTACAGCACATATGGGCATTTATCAGCTCTCAGAAATGCTTGATTTTGGCTTTGTGCAGTATTGAAACTATAGCTATTTCCTTCAAGGCTTTCTTTAATTTTAGAGCAATTGCTAGATGCACATAGGGTAAATTTTGTTCTAAAGTAAATTAGATTATGCATTTATCTGTAGAAATTGCATTTATTAGAATTCCCTGCTATTATCATGCTATTTTGTACGTCTTACTCTTTTAAGCTATGCATGTGAGCCAGAATTTCTTGCTTTCAAGCACTTCATGCGCACAAGCAGTCTATCAAAAAGTATTTTGTACAAATTTTCACCCAAAGAGCATCTCAAGGATCCCTCTCCAAAATATTCCCAAGTACATCCCTTAGAGTTATTTCGATCATTGACAGCCGGAAATAAAGGATATTTTGACACCCCCTCGTCCATGAAACTGACCTTCCACTAGAATACTTTAAAATAGTATATAGACAATACTTATTTCCCATACACGTTTAGATCTTACCCCCAAGTAAATCCTGCACCAGACTGGAAACTTTGTCGCGCGCCCGCGATATATTGCCCGCGCACTCAAATTTTCCATCCGCGCACTTTTGCATTTTGGCCGCGCAAAGTCCCTATTTGAATACATTCCACATTAATAACAATACAAATTTCTTAAAAGTGGGTGATTTCAGGCGTGCAGTCGCGCAGTCAGGTGCGTGAACTTGCCCGCGCAAGAAACAAAGTTTCCAGTCTGGATCCTGCAACTTGTTCTGTCAACATAAGCAATTACCCATCATATCCTTGAAAGCCAGTAAGGCTCTATCATATTGATACCTTTTATAGACAAGCACTGCTAATTGCACATCCCCCCGTTTCAGTTGTTAAGGGAATCGTATTGAGCATTTCCATGGAAAAGTGCATAAATGATGTTACCATGATGAATGCCTACTACCTCTCAGCTGCAAGCAGTGCATCATCAAATCAAGCTTATATTCCGACAAACAAGATCATTCGTGTTCGCCTCAGGAAGATGTTCAAGGGCTACAGGTACATCAACAATACAGTCGGCAGCGAATTTGAGATTACATTTTCGTCTCCATATTCAATCCCACTTTGGCCTGGTCGTGAATATCTACTAGCTGGATTCGTCATAAACAGAAAACCGTACATGAACCACTGCAGTTGGTATCAGGCCTGGGCTATAAGTACGGTAACACAGGCTTTGGGATTAACAAGGTTTTACTGGATTTATTGCAGATGTCAGGTGAAGAATTGCTATAACAACAATTGTCAGTTCAATCCGAGGCACTGTAATTGGCATATTTACGATATAGAGGCTGCTGCCAAGAAGATGGATTGTAATTCGCGCCACTCGGTTTGCATGGTAAAAGGTGGTAGGTGTCAATGGAATAATCCCGTTGGAAAGCAGCTGTGTCCAAAATTTGAAAAGCGCCCTGAACTGCCTTGATCTTCATATGGGAACAGAATTGCGTTTTAAAGCAATTGTAGCTTGTATATTTAGGTGCGGCTTAAGTATCAAAATATATTCTAAAGACCTATTTTCTTATAATCTGAGATTTTGAGAGTTTACTCTACTGCATTTAACATCGGGTTACGGGTAGTTTCGGCTGGAAAAAGCAAAGATTCTTCTAAACATTATTTTTTAGACTAATCTCTTTAATTGCTGGTATCATCCTCTTTAAGACTAGGCCTTTCTCCTCCCTTTAAGACTAGAACTCTACGCAAATTTTTAAAAGCAGGGGCAAAGCCTCAAAAACTAAGCCCTCTTCCCGCTTCTATCCAACATATAAATCATTCCTAAACAGTGGGTAGATTACTACATATAAATTATAGACTTTTCTGTGGTTCCCATTTCTTTCATTCAATGGGTTTACTATACTTCGTTTGCTTTGAAAAGCTAGAATAGGTATATCCATGCAAAGCTTGCAATATGTGCCATTAAATATAGTGACGTTTTAGAGGGGTTTTAATCTTATGTATAATCGTTTTCAAGACTGTTGAAAGAATAGTCTTTTACCGATTTACTGATTCTTTTACAGTTACTATTTCGCTATTTGAAAGAGTGTATTGTCCCTTTGAGTCTAGGACTGGTGGAAGTTAACGTGCTTGAAATACAAGCTTGGAGCTATATGAAGAACCAAATGTTCCCAAGAAAAAAAGGAGAATAAGAAAACATTCGACAAGAATACTGAGCTCTATCATTTCTGGGGTAAATTTACCATCCCAGTTTTTATTATCACCCATTAAGTTTGTGAGCAGAAAATAAACTTTGCCTCCGACCCCATTTTTCCTGAAACCCTAAACACAACACTTCTAAATGAACTCAGTTTGTTTCTTATGGAAAATTAGAATATAAACAAACAATGTTTATTAGACTTCAATTATCAATTCAATACTGGACAATATAATCTAGCTTTTTCAAAGAGCTTTTCGTAATTACATACAACTAGATAATCAAATATCTATTCAGGACAATCATAATTATTAAAAATTCATTAATGAATCAATATTCAACTTTGACATGTGAGAAACTAAAATTAAAACTCATGCATATATCAATCCACAGCAATTCTTCTCCCCGAAAATTTATCAGTCTTTCTAAAGATCTACACGCAACATTTGATGCCTAACTCATACCAAAATTAAAACTATTTCAAATACTGATTGACTAAACTTCCTACTAAAAGAATCGTTAAAATACGCAATAAGGTTATCAGTCAAGTTAAATAAGCGAAACATTTAAAGTAAATGTAAGAAAAGATAAGAAAAAGTGGTGTTGTGTTATGCTCGCATATCAGGTATACAAAAGGGCCGAAAAAATTCAACAATTTAGGGGTTAATAAAAAGTTATCATTGCTAAAGGAAAAAACGACTGACATTTATTCAAACACGTTTTTATATAACTCAAAGACAATCGTTTTGGTTTATAAAATTTCTGTTTTCGATTATCCCAATAACTTTTAATATTATGGAGAAGCTTTGACAAATAGATCAGGTGCTTGAAATGTCCTGGCCTTCACAGGCAAATGGTAATGTACATCACCAACAAAAAATCCGAAATATCTTACATACACCATCCTTTCATAAATAAGCGAAGGGTCTTCGACCCAAGTCTTTTCTCTTCTTCAAATGAGTACAAATTTAAGCAGATACCATTTAAAACAAATACCCTCTAATGCATTTCCAGACAATATTTACTCTTATTAAAACAAGTCATCGCTTTACACAACTTCTTGTAAGGTTACGATAAATTCATACTAATAAACTATAAATTATATACAAGCACTGATTAATTATTTTCTGAAACGTTCATAAAACTACATTAAAATTCAAAGAGGGCGAAAAGTTGGACAAATGGTGCAAATTGTGGGGACTACACCCTTTTCATGACATAAAACACACTCCAATTCACTGCCCCCTTCAAATTTAATCTCAGAATTGATAAAAAGTCGATAATGGCCATGAATAAAGAGAACTTCTCATCTCCTACCCTGAAGTGTGCCTATGTCACAGTCACAATCGTTTATACAAAGTTATTTAAAAGCCTTATTTGACATGAGGAGATTTTCTTAAAGGCAAGCACATGAATCGCTGTAAACGAGATTTCTTCTTCGATTTCTTCGCAATCTCTATCGGCTGTTCGGGTGGTGACGTCACTGAGCTATTCTCCTGTGATACAGCGATATCAGATGCTGAGCACTTTGCCACACTAGACTCGTGCAGATTTTGACTTTGACGTAACATCGAATGTCTAGTGGTCTGGAAAACATAGAAAGGAGATGATGTTATTTTCGTAGGAAATCACGTCTACTTTTTAACACACTTGCTGATAAACATTCTATCTTTACAAGATTATTATCAAATTGGATCATTCCGTGGCAGGAGCGTCAAACTCCGGGTATTAAAGTTTCATTTCTTAGCAACATCCATGGAAAACTTCATTCTTGTCTCTTCATTTAATCCATCGGAATTCAATTTTACATCTATCCAACTAGCAGAAAAACAGATCGCTGCGTGCGTTGAGGCCGCTATTCAATGGGTATATATTTTAGGACTAGGCTTCAAGTTTCTGTTTGTTTTTTACTTCAGATTCGTGCTGGGGACCATAATTTTAGTCTTCGCACAGGTTTCCATGATGTAAGCGCTTGTAACATTCTTTGACAAAATAAAGTTGAAATTATCTAAGAGTTTAGACCCTGAGTCGAGGTTGAAGGTGAAAAGTTCAACCCGGAAAGATCACTGCGGTCAAATCATCAAACACTATCTTGTCACAAAATCAATTTCGTAGATTGAAGTCTGGAGTTATACTCAGAATGATGCTGTAAATTGAATATGAGCAGTGAGATATTTTTGTTGTCTCTACATTGAAAGGTGTTAAACAGGGAAACTTTAGTTCCCAAAAACTGTTCAGTGTAAAAACTGCAATGGATACATCATAGGTGTAAGTTTTGAACTTCTTACATCACTGCGTCCCTTTAATGCGAAAAGACATCCTGTGAGGGTTTGTTCAACCATTATCAAGTTTGAAAGTTGATCAAGGACATCAGGTGAAACTGCATCGGCTGTCGTCGGATCGTTGAGCTTCTGCATCAGCACGGCACAGATATTTCTACAATCAACCTCATGACCTAGAATTAAATATTGTTGAAATAACACATCAAGAATCGCAAACGTTATCACGAATAAAATCATTGTCCCTTAGAGTTTGACCCTTAACTCGGTACCTCTGATCGCCTGTTAGTTGTAGTTTTGAGAAGCCCCATAGTCGAGTTTTGTATTAGTAAGCAGTTAGGAAAACAGCGTTGGGAAGGTGAAATGAACCAAAAGCTGTTTTTTGCAGAGAAGATGATCAACAGGCTGAGAAGAACTCTTTTTCCATCCATGAGATGGTACTTTAAAACAACCTTAAACCTGCCTCGCAAAATCATTGGAACGGTATGGTTGCCTGCTTCGAATTCGACATGTTTTTCCTTCTATGGGCAGTAAGATCATTATATAAAATTTAAAATCTCGTTCTCATGCACAAATGTTGATTTCAGGAGAATGTGGCCAGTCCCTCAGTAGAACAGAAAAACACATGCATAGTATAAGATAAAAAAATGTCTATTGGCTTGCCGTGAAATGATGAGGTACTAAAGGTCAAAGAGAACTTACCTGAAGTATTCAGTGGCTCGGAAATATGAAAGACGTCGGTACAAAACTGGCCAAGATCTTTATCGATCGAGCTTTTTAGCTGTTTGAATTCCTTTTTCAGTTCATTGACAGTTTTAGTAAAGGCGGATAATTGTAAAACACTCTCCAAATTGACACCAAAGAGTTGCGTTTCGAAAAGATTCTCCAGGATACAGCTACGTCTTGGAGAATATGGTGCTCTTAGTTTATTTAGAAGAGGACTACACGTGTTCGACAAAGAACAAGGTTCCTTTGATGATTGCGGCCAGTTTTCTTTCGCAGACGTAGCAGTGTCGTCATCCTGGTTGCCACGGACATCATCCTGGCTACTACGAGGTGATGCAGTCTCGTATCCAGATGGAGATGAAGACGAGGTGCGGGCGAATGTTGAGGTGAGGCCACCGCTCCTCTCTGTTTCTGATAACAAGGACTGTTCAGAGCTCTTTAAACGGCCTAAGCCGGTAGTATTTCTGTTATGATCCGGGTCAGGCTCAACAGGAAAAGTTGCCGGATCCATATCGGCAATGTCTTTAATGCTATATACGAGCTGCAAAGACATTAGCTGCGCCATTAAAATCGATTTCGCTTTTTCTTTGCAATTTTCCATGGACTGGCAGTGGAAGCTCGTACCATCATTTTCATCCAATGAAGACGGCACTTCGACCTTATAGCAGAATAGCAAATTTACTTCATTTTATTTTACCAGAACATACACAATAAGCTACATGGCTATACGGCCTAAAATTCAAAGCCGTAAGTTCAAAGGACGGAGACATAAGCCCCCACAGCCAAAGAAAATTTGACAGAATGGAAAAATGGAAAAGTCGTCAACCTAGTCGAAAGAGCTAGAGTGTGGTTTTAAGCGGCTGATTTAGCCGTTCATAATTCGTTTACATAAGTTTATTTTATGGAAGTTTGCCAATTCATGACGCTATGCTGTTGTTGAGTTTGATCAAATAATATGAACTGTGCAGACGAGAAGTTTGAAAATTGAATGAATCATTTGAGATTTCTCTTTTCCTTGATTCACACGAACACAAATCACGAGCTAAAAGACCACTGTAAAATTTCAGTGGCTTAATAATTTATCAAGGTTGCTTCCCCTCCAGAAACAAAAAGTTGTATGTCGGTCTATGGCTGACTTTGAAGGTAAATCCAACGAAATTTGGTGGATTTAAGCTCAGAAAATACAGAGGAAATTGACAGACAAAAGGGTTAAGCCAGAATACGACCAGGAAAAGCAATTATACAAAGAACTGGATATAGAAAAACAAAAAACACATTACAGGCCAGCTCAAAGCGTGAATAATTGCTTGCAAGTTTACTTCTTATCCTAGTTAAAAGGCTCTTTAAACATACACATGTTGAAGCTCTTAACGGCGAATTTATAGCTCGTAACATGATGATGCTGCATAGAATATTAGATCATTTCGTTCACTTTGCATCTTTAAATAATGTAGTTAATTTAGTTTTATATTTTGAATGTAATTTACCACAGGGTTGCTATGTATTCCCATGCTCCCTGTGGTATCGTCTGGTAAATATGTGTATGTTTTGTAAAAAAAAAATTTGTAAATAAAATATAAAAAAAGATATTAGATCAATCAAGGGTAAGATTCTCGCCTCTGTCGAGGATACAAAAACTTGTCGAGAATCAAAAGACGTATCGCTACCCTGACTTCAAGGGGCTAACGGTCAGTAATGGGTCTTCCAATTATCTTGTTGGTAGATGGGGGTGATGTTGTTCCCGTTTAAAATCAAAACAACTCCGAGCATGAGATATTCAGGGGATTACACTAAAAAAAGAAACTCAATTCTTTCTTATTAAAAACGTTCGCAAAAGAGCTTATAAACATAGCTGTCTGACAAGATTAAGCATGTTAAATTGAAACTAATCAAATTTGTCAGACAATATTGCTGCGGTAGGAGAGGGCGATATAAATATACTTTACGAAAATATGTAGCACCGTAATTCCAAGAAAATGCTTGATCGACATGTCATTCGTTAACACCGTAATAAACGCACACGCCTGCCTTGAATTGCGTCTTCTTAGATTGCGTGCTAACTAATTTTATCTCAGCATATTGAAAAATACCAAAAATTACATACCAGATCTCCTGCTTCTGTTTTCATGTTGCAATTTTCCTTCGACGCCAGCCTTTCAAACTCAGCTTTCAACAAAGAATACGATTTTTCTGGTAAAAGAGAAAATGATTGCATATTATTTTCACAGAAATTTTGCTATGAAAATAGGCTTTTATGTCCAATTTTTAAACATTCTTCTCTAAAAGACAAGTAAAAATCAAAGATTCATTTTAGGATCGGGTAACACGAACAGGGAAAAAGACGAAAAGTGATTGGCTTGTACTTGGCCAATCAAGCCACAGCAGAAGAACAAACGAAAGAGAAAATAGGAGAAAGAACTACTTCTGTCATGAGAAATTGATCTCCTCATCATTTCATAACATGTTTAGAACATTGGTCTTTAATTATTTTTAAAAATCTAAAATACGCCTTTCCAAGTACCACTGATTGTAGCAAATGATAAACTAACTCAACATGCTAACTTAAAATAACGCAAATAAATGCGTTATTAATTACGCTGGTACCTAAAAACACATCTTTATACTACAAAATTTCATAACCACAAAGTTAGGGGCCACAGAACATATAGATAGGGAGGGCAAATATGAGATTTGGCGGATGACTCTAGGTCTCTAAACTAATGTGAAGTGGAATCCCTTCAGTGGCCGTTGCACAAAGTATTATGTCTATGTAAGATCTGCTAGCGAAAATCTGGTTTAAGACCCACCTTGTTCGTGCAGCTTCACCTTCAAATCGTCAGCAAGCATTTTATAATCAACCTTGAAAGCAAAGGACTAATTACTTCACATGAAATCAAAGTGATTTTTGCATAAATTAAAAACATTGTCAAAGGAGAGGATTGTTGATAAATATCAGGGCATGGGATTTTGGTAGCGCTGAGGAAGCTGTAATGAAAGATGCTGATTGGATATGATGTCAAAAAGAACTGTCCTGATTGGCTACCAGAAGAAAAGAGGAAAATACTTCTATACCTCAACAGCCGTGAGTTGGTTGATGAAGCAACATGCTATCCATGGTGCTAGGATACCTAATAACTAACTAACAGATATTTCTTCATAACTATAAAGAAGAGTTCTGACCTCAACATTGACTCTTGGCATGGTCTTAACTTTCAAGGCTCTTTGACCAAAATCAAGGGTACTCTTCGTCTCGTTGAAATAATGAAGTCCTTGCGAAACACAAAGCTGTGAATAGAAGAAATACAATAGTAGCTTGACTTTAGCAAACGACGGAATTCAAATAAAAACACAGCAAATGACTGCTTTCGACTTAACCATAGGGTATATGGACACAATGTCAAAAATCATTAGGAAAGAAGGGCTAGGTTTTCAGTGATGAGACAGCTGTTTATTTTAGACACACGATGATAACAATATAGGTCATTACAAGATAAAAAATGTATGTTAAACGATCAGTCATAAAGCGCTCGATGCAGTACAGGCAGCGCTGTATATGACCACTAAAGTCGCCTGATGGTCACATTAAGCGTGAAACTCTGATCTAGGAAAACCCCGCTCCATACGCCAAAGCGTCGTCATTGGATATTACACTAACAACATAAGGTGGTATTAGCAACAAGTAGGATTATAAGAATGAAAAGTAGCAGAAAACTGAAGGTTAGTAGTATCGGTAGGGTTTCATAGTAGCAGATAATGGGTACAGTGAAAAGTACCAGAAAATGACTTGGAAAGGCCTAAGTGCATGTCCTTTGGAATAGATTCCTATTTTCTTCGGATGGAAAGACGAGCTCCGTAGCTGCGTAAAGGAGCGATATAAGATTTCCAAAACACGCCAGGATACACCAAATTCACGGTTCAGCATTATTTCGAAAGGAGACCTACCAAGAATGTTGTTTTACAATTCCCGCCGAGGCTGTCTTGTAACAGTCGAGTCAGAAGCGAATTCCGATAGGGAACGTAGGTCCTGTTGCCTTCAGCTAAGGCTGCGATCACATTCCTAGGATGAAGTAAAAATATTATCGAAATTGATAGCAATACAAACAAGTATGAATCCTAAACATTAAATCTCTTTATAAATTTTTGCTAAGATTAATGATAAGTGTTGTAGAACAAACTTTACTTTTAAAAAAATTACCTTGATCACAACATATCCTTCAACGATGACAAAAGATCTAAGATAAGGTCTACACATGATTTTTTTGGATGAACCAATTAAGTATTTCTATGGAAACAATACCAGTATAGTATAAATGCAACAAAACAATGCAGCAAGCACATTATGAGGGAAACGACGAAAACAAACTCAACAAACAGAAGGAGAATCCCATTAAAATGTGAGATTGATACATAAACTGATATTGGGATTTGAATATGCTGATTGTTAGAGTTTTATGGTTCTGACGCTTTTGTGAAAAACCCTTCTTATTGTTATTTAGTGTTGCTTGTCGT